CAGGACCCTACGCTGCTGTGCAAGAGGTTTACTTTAACGATACAATGACTGATTTAATAGATTATATGAGCATTTGTTGTCAAACTAAGATCAAATATCCAGTGTTATAGATATATGTACAACAAAATCCGGGCCTCTGCCATGCAACAAAGATCCTTGTACTCAAACAAAGCTAATGCAAACATGCCTCTGCTTACTGAGCTGGTTGTGACTCAAGAGCTGTGAAATGAGAGCTGTTGAGCAACAATGTCTAGCGCGTCCTTGTCACAGGCTGGAAGGTTGAGGGCTTTTCCAGTGTAGTCTTTATGACTGTTTTGATTTCCCTCCCATGCGAGGTCAAGAGGATTACACAGGCTGGGTTTTGATTGCTCGGACTTTTTTTTCACTCCGCTCTGCTCAGAATTTGAGGATATTTTAGGCACCCTGATGTAACAAGATGCCAAAGGCTGTCACCAGCCCCCTTTGTGCCAGACAATCCCTTCAAAAAATAACAATTTCTTTACCCCTCTGTTTGGATAATTTGATAAAAATCTGGTTATTCGAGATCTGGGTGAAGTGCTGTCTGTTCTGCATTTGGTGTAATTTCCTGAAGTTCTGTGTGTGTGTGTTGCTGGGAGCTGTTTAGTATCACCCCTGCAGGCGTACGAGTGTCATATCCTGAAACTCTAGTTTTTGAGTATTTGAATGCAACACAAGACAAATGTGTCTTAACATATAGAAACTTTTCTTATGGATGGATTGATCTCTCTCACAACAAAATAAGATCATATGAACTGAATTCAAGCCCCTTTCCAGGAATACATAAAATCAACTCTTCTATATGTTAGACTCTCCTCTACCACAGGTGCTCACTTCAGTCATCTATCTCCTATGTGGAAATGAAGGACGTCACCTAAGTGGTACAGATTATGTGGTCTGCAGTTGCAGGGGCAGCGTGGTTTAGGGTTGTGGCTATTAATAACCACAACGCACATGTGCTCTGCCGAGGTCTACAAATAAGTGTCTGAGGAGCTCTGTGGCTGTGTTTGAATGCGGTGCTCGACTTTTGGCTTTGAGCAGGTTGTACTGTAGACGGGGACACAGGCTAAAACTGTCTGGACATGTTGGTTGTTAATTTAAGAATAGCTACTGTGTGTAATTTTCAGCATTGTTTGCTGTTTCGATTGAAAGAAACCACTTGAGTATGCTCACACTGATTACACAAGACTGCACTGTAAACTCCTACTTAATTACTACTGGTTTAACTTCCTAACATGGTGCAAATTTGCCTCTAAAGGAAATTTGAATTACTATATTCTGACAACATCTTAAAGGGCCATAAATGTCAAGAGGTTCAGATATAATGTGTAATGAGTGTTTTTAGTTTGGCTTAAAACATCAAGCAAAAAAAAAAGTCAGAGGCCACACCCTTTTTTAAAGCTGTATCCATCACCTCTGGTAAATATGAACTCTATGAAATCTAGTTAACTGAGTTTAGAGTAACAAAAACACAAACATCTGTACAGTTCTACTTTTATTGCATGAAGTACTACATTTATTACAATAAAGACTTTTTCTTCATACCTTAAATACTTAAAAACACATCCTAAATTAAATTCCACTCGTGCTTTTTAAGTCTCGATCATAGATTTCTTTATTAATTTTTGTAAGTTAAGTTCCAGTCCTTTTTTTCTTTCTTTTTTAAAAATAAAGTTAAAAGCCAGACTAACCTTCACAGGGAGTGATTCTTTTTTGCTCTTATTTGAGTTATGGGGTTTACAGTGTGGCAATCAAAAATGCATTTTGTTTGTTGTGTAAAAAAAAGAGTCTTTTAATGAAAAAAAAAACATGTGTGCAGTTTATGAATGATTAAGAAACATGTCTTTATTGGCAGCTGTAGAAAGGCCACCAGTCACTTAGCTGTGTTAGATTCAGAGGTCAAATCACAGAATGTATTAGGTGTGGCAGAAAGAATTTATAATACCTCATTAAAAAGTGTTTATATCGATTTAATATCTGATCTTCTCCTATCTTTATTACTTTTCTTGTTAGGAACAATTCATGTTGGACTACTGTTTAAAGGCTGAGAGGATTCAACGTCTTTATGAGTCATAAAAACTTCAGTCTCTGCTTACATTGTGATCAAAGATCCTCAAGAGGGCACCAAACTATTAAACACACCTTCTTATTTTTACATGTAAGCACAGGTACAGAAATAACTTATCTCACAGCGTATTTATTCCTGCTTCAAAGATTCTGCTTCTATTTTACTGCTCGCATTGATGCACCTCTGCATGAAGGGTTCAGCTGCTGACAAATGATTTTCACACCCCTTTGCATCAGTGATGTTGATCTGAGTCTATTAATCATGCTTCTTTTTTATCAGTGGTCTGTGTAGTTTGTGAAGTACAGTGTAGCCTCCTGCTGGGCACGTCTGAACGCTGGGTCAACCTCTGCCCTTTGCTCTCAGCTGGACAGATTCCTGGAATACTTCCTCGGCGGATCTATATTAATGAGCTTTTCCGTCGAGGTTCATATATTATGCAGCAAAAGAGCTTAGAAATGGGCTTTACTAACCAAATTGGTGTGCTACTGCAGACTGCACAGCTTCATCTCTCTGTTAATTCATCTGTGGAGCCACAAGGGCGGACACATCAGCAGTGACACAGCAGAACTGTCTTCCACTGCATCGCATCTTCAATACAAAGACGGATTATTTCCTTATTCCTTTGGATTCTTTTAGTAACAAATATTGTTTCCGCAGACTATCAAGTGAAACATCGATGTACTGTATTAGCTTACTTAACAGGCTCTGTGCCAGCCCTTGATCTGGATGTGACAAATAATTGTCAGACCAACCCACTTTACAATTCTCAGCAGCCTTTTCACATGCACTATTTTTAGCTGAACTAAATGAAAGAATCTGCAGACAGTACAGTCGCAGAGCTCTTAAGGTACCCCAGTTATTCTGGAAGTGCATTTTCCACATCATTCACAAGCCTCTGTTGTGTTTTTTTTTTTTTTAATCTTGACACAAACTGTCAAATGCACGTACCATGAAATCATAAAAACTGATAGATTTTGTCCTGACGGATGCAATCTTTTAAATTTCTCAATTTTACAGTAGCTTTAGAATTTGTCGTTGGTTTAAGGTGGTTGTAAAAAAATAATCCAACAAGTAACTCTGAACAAAACAACTTCCAATGAAATTTAGTTCCTTACTGAGATTTTTTTAGGTTGGATCATGAAAAGCGTCGATTACTCTCCACCTGCATGCGTCTCGGTTTGTTTCTACTGTTGTAAACATTGCGGTGACGCTTGGCAGCTGAACAATAGAGAGATGATTATCTGAAAACTCTGAAACGTCAAGATTTTTTTGGTTGAACATGATTAGAGTGCTCAAAACACATTTGACAAGGTATTTCCATTCCATGTATCAGGCTGTAATCAGATATTATGTTGAATTGCTCTTAAATTGCAGCTTAAATAAACTGGCTCTAGTGCACTGGAAGCATCCAGAGGCATGTACACAAGAAAGCTCTGATTTTCTGTGGTTTTGAGAGCAAGAGTAACACTAAACCGCGTGGAAAATCAAAACAGAGAGTAGCCATGGAAAACCTGACAGGACTCGCTCTGTATGCTCGATGAGAAAGGGAGTCACGGCTGCCCTAGAGGCTGGTAGGCAGGCAGGCAGGCAGGCAGGCAGCAGAGAAGAGGACGACAGCTAACTGCTTCCTCAGTTGCTTATCCAGCCGCGTACCTGAACCTCGATCCTCTGGACAGCCCTCAGGAGCTGCTGCAGAGGATGAAGTACCTGCTTAAGACTGAGAGGGAGCAGAGAGCTCACATGGTAACTCTCATGTGCTGCATGGGTCAGTATTCATCTTACTGCTTAACGTCATTCCCTTGATTGATTTGGTCGTGTCGGTGCTTGTTCATTGCTAATACTTGGTAAGATATCCTCGAGCAAAACTGGTTTAGTAAGCTGCACTGAGGGAAGGGAGGGGAGAGGTTATCTGTGCTGTTAGTCCTGTGGTCAAAGTTCAGGAAAACACGTCTTTTTCCACTTTGTTTTTGGGAGAAAATGTGGCAATGCCTTGCCGGCAGATTGCTGTTAATGTTATTGAATGTACACGTGAACAGTGTGTTCATAGAGGATCACTCAGAAGGGTTTTGTCTAGCAGAGACGTGGAAAATGAGTCACGGTTGTGGTAACTGGCCTGTATCCATCTTTGCTCTGAAACTGGAAAAATACAGCGATGACAAATCAAAGTTGTTCATTATGTTGAAAAGAAGAAAACATAATATTGAAAGTTTCATTCTTATTTCCCTTGTAATAAAACGAATAGAAAGGAGTTGCGTTTGAGCAGACATAACTGGATGTTCACTATTTTCTTTTAAATTGCATCAATTTGCGTCTTGGTTTTTGCTTCTGGCTGCAGGAAGTCATGTTGCTATGGCGATGTGAAATTAAAAAAAACATGTGGTCAGCAGCAGTCAGGAGGGAGTGATGCCATGTAAGCCTCTGGAAAATGACATCCTCCCTAAAAGCCACTGGGACTCGTGTGCCTTTCATACAAAACTTAAAAAAAAAAACTTTCATTGACTCCTTTGCACACAGAACAATCAGTGGTTCTCAACTAGTGGACCCACCACCAACTGATTCATGACAAATCGCTACCCAAATGTATGATATTTTTAAACCAATCAGAGTTATTTGATGACAAATTGGGCAATTTTGTCCTCAGATGGTACAAAACAAATCTGTTTAAAATCAAAATACCAGGCACACAATCTCGACCCACTAAAAACGGTTCTGCGACCCACTTTTGGGTCCCGACCCACCAGTTGAGAACCACTGGTCTACATGCAAGGCACATACAAAAGAGAATTAGGGTGGTCTAATGATCATGATTATTCATCGAAGGAGGTTAATGTTGCCCAAAACGCTTCTGTGGTGTTTCCTTTATAATGTCAAATAACACAACGTTTTCTTTCTCCTTTCTCTCTCTCCTCCTCAGATGAAAGAGACAGAGTGCAGAAAAAGACGTTTACAAAATGGATAAACCAGCATCTGGTGAAGGTAAGAACGAATGTGTGAAAGTTGTTTTCCCCTCCCTTTCTCTTCTAACATTGACGATGACAGAACATGTCAAAGTTAAAGTTCCTGTATATAAGAATCTCATTCATCTCTGTCCAACGTTTTCATATAAACAGAAAGAAAACCACGTTAAAAATCCCACTTTCATTTCAAGTATCAACAAATCAATTCTCTCCAACATAAACAATCAATTTAAGAAACGTAGACGGTGTTGACAGTCACTACTCTCCATGCTAGGCCCTAACATGCTAACATTCCTCCCCAGATATTATTAAAGTCTGCTTAAAGTCATTTAACACAACATGTGATGTTACACCGCTGTCGCAACAGGTTGTCTTTTGTTGACTCAGGAATTAATCGCTTACGACAACGTTTCATCTGTCTGTGCAGGTTAATGAAACACTTAAACAGCCAGACATGCGCTGACATGTCTCACCTAATATCTCTTTGTGAAATGAATCACTGTCTTGTGTAATATGATTCAAGCATAAGTGGTAAGATGAACGTTGCTTTTCCCTAAAAATCACACTATTTTATGTTATGCCAAGTACAAATGTAGTCCTGTCATTCATTTGTTAAAGGGAATTATTTCTTCCCATTACTCCCCCTTTTCTGAAGTGTACTGGATATCTTCCAGGTAGACAGTGTCTTGTCAGCAATAACTTTAAGAGTTGTCTCGATAGGAAAATGTTATATTTTAAAGTCTTTATATGTGATTTTTCACACTTATATATATAAATCAAGTATATCCTCTGAAAATAACTCTGTGAGTCATGACTGTCTACAATGGGTGTAACACCCGAGTCCCACTGTCTGGGATGTTTTCAGAGTCCTATCTTCAGTTTGTTTACATCGCCGGGACGGCCGGCTGACTCCTCCCCTCGTGTATAAAAGTTGTTTAATTGAGGGACTAGAGAAAAGAAGAATAACATACTGTACTCACTGCTTAACTGTGTTTCTAGATCCCGCTCATTTCAGGTAAATTTACATGCAGTGTGAAGATACGAGCATAATAAAGATCGCTAGCATTAGCATGCTAACACAACAATGCACCGCGAGTTGTTTTGGTTTCATGCTGGTGCTCAAGGGCGACATCTGCTGGATCAAAAAATCACATATAAAGCCTTTAAAAAAAATTATAGTCAAAATCTAACAATACTGATAGCTGTTTGGAAACCACAGCAAAAAAAATGAATAGGAGTCCTTGGCAGCTAATGAATACTTACACAAGTAATGATATTATTGATGACGATGATGATGATGATGATGGTGATGGTTTTGTTTGATTATGATGATTTTAGGTTGGTTTTGACGCTGATAAATGCCTTACATCACCGCTAGGCTATCCGGCGCATTATATACATTCACATATTTGCATGCGGACATTAGCCTTGCCCTGAGCACAGCCTTACAAAGCTGCTTTTGTCGATATAGACTCCTGTCGTATTATTTGGTGTTCTTAAACAAAACCTCTGGTTCTTCAACTGCTAGCATTGCTAGTAACACGTCTTTATGGCGGCTTCAGCCTTAGACTTCTTCCTCTGAAAATGCAAATAATGTTCAACCATGTTAGAGACTGGTGGGCCACTGGTCCCTCCTGCCAAGTTGTATTTCTTGTTTTGCTCCTGAGGGTTTTTGCGCCCTTTGATGATCATCTTCAAAGCTTGAGTCGGACATAAACCTGCCCTGAGGATGAATTTAAGGGTTCCGCCAATTAGATCAATCCTTGCTTTATGGCGATGGAGCCTCTCATGAATCAGTGCTAATGACCGGTTTTATATTCCAGTTATGCCTCGAGGAAGTGCTGGCTGCAGCTCACTGGGTCACCCAGCTGGATGAGAATCTTTGAGTAAATCATGTAAATTTAATCTCAATACTGGCAGAAAAAAAATCAGTAAATCAGATTTTTCTTGCAGAACTGCGAACATGAAAAGTGCATAAACGACAAAGGAATTACATGCGTGTAAAAACGAGCGGCTGGAACGTGTTGAACTGGAGTTAATGGTTTAATGGGGGGAATCTGTAATGTTTGACAGCTAGATTTCAGCAGGCCTCACGCATGGTCGGTGAAAACTCAGAGGTGCTGAGTAATAGTTGGGGGTCTGCTTGTCTGACCCAATAACATAAGGGTCCAGGTCTATTTTGGCTCCACAGCTGTGGCTGCTATCTGGGATTACAGTTGCTGAAAGCCCTGTGTGAAAGCAGGTCAGCAGGCTGCAGGGTGATTTCAGAGGCGCAGTATTTAGGACAGGAAGGAGAGATGGGCCTGCTGGAAGGAAGAAGCCTCGGACCGGAGCTGACAAGTGCCACGCTTAAGTGCTTAGATGAAGTGTCACAATGATGTCCTGCACAAGGTGTTATGTAGAGTGCTGTATGGCACATTCATTTCTGTTCTGAGGGAATTGTGAATGAAAAAGGGAACCACAACAACTGAGACAGCTGAAAAGAAAAGCTAACTGAATGGCATGAGCAATATGCTATTATGGCAATATTTTTTTGTTGGTACTGTATTGTTATTGTATGCAGTTAATACATTTTTGTGTACATATTCTTTTCTGCATCTTAATTATGTTTTGTTTAGTTGTTTTCAACACTGTGATATTTTAGCATTATTTAGGTGGAGGCTTCAAATAATCTCATTGAGTTTTCTGCCTCTTCCTGCACTGAATGTTGTCTATTTTGTTTTTTGTTTAATATGTTTTTTTTCCCTTACTGTGCAAATAAATAAATACTAATACTACTGAAGTTATATCAAGTGGAAGAATGTGGATGACTTTTTGGTCTGTGAAATAGTCCTGAAAGTTGTATTGCTTGACAAATACAAATGTTATTCTTGGCTTGAAATGATACGCTGATAAAGGCTGATCAAGATGTATTACGGGCTAATAGGTGTCCAGATACATGCGGACATGTTTCTACCAGAAAGTATAATGCAGAAAACAACGTAGAGCAAGTAAAGAATGTTGTCATTGCTTAGTTTCTCCAGCTGAACGAAATCAGTGACAGCACATCGTAGAGTTTTACAGCGAACAGACGGTGGTCAGCACTAGAATTTTTTATTATTTGTAATATGACATCATCTTTTGTTTCGGTTATAAGTTATAGTTGCACAATGCACACTTAAATGTTATTTTTTTAACAAAGCGCATGTTTAGTTTGGTCAATAGATCAGGCGCCCAGTGTACAGAGGCTCCTCGCTGCGTTACTCACAGGTCGACTCCAGGCCTCTGTCTACCTCACTCTTTCCTCCCCACAATTTCTGTCTGTCTTCAGGTGTTTTATCAATAAAGGCAAAATGGCCAAAAATAGTCTTTAAAATCTGTCTATTGAATACCAGTTACATGTAGTACATGTAGTAGTATTAGTAGTATGTATTTGTTTGCACAGTAAGGGAAAAAAAACATATTAAACAAATAACAAAATAGACAACATTCAGTGCAGGAAGAGGCAGAAAACTCAATGAGATTATTTGAAGCCTCCACCTAAATAATGCTAAAATATCACAGAGTTAAAAAAAACAACTAAACAAAACATAATTAAGATGCAGAAAATAATATGTACACAGATATGTAGAAAAAAATGTATTAACTGCATACAGTAACAATAAAAAACAAAAATGTCAAGTAATTGTATATGTACGGTAAGTCATAATGAACAATCGTTTAACTGTTGACGATCAGTATGATACGACAGTTTTCTCACATTTTTCTTTCCTTTTCGTTCCAGGTACGAAAACATATCAATGACCTGTACGAAGACCTACGAGATGGACATAACCTGATCTCACTGCTGGAGGTTCTGTCTGGAGACACATTGGTGAGTCAACGTTTTTCTGCGATCTTTATTTCACTTTGTTTTGGTTCATGTAGATTGAGTGAAATCACAAAACACTAAAACACTTTCCTCTTCTGTGAATATCTTCACCTGACTGAAGCAGCTGGTCTTCTCTTTTAATAATGTAACTGATGCTAGGATGATTCTAGGAGTTGATTATTAGAAATCAGATCTGTTGTGATTTTGAATCCACTCATTTGATCATATTTTCTTTAAATTATTTCATGTTTTGACCCTGTTTATATTACTGTTCTATTTAGAGATAGCTATGCAATTGACTGATTTGCTCATCACTGAGATTAGCTTGGCCGGGCTTCTAGATAAAACAATACAAAGTAGGGAAGTCTAGAGCTGTGCAGTTTTCTTTTCTTTACATATATTCTGTTGGATACAGTCATGGATGGGACGCTTTGTGCCAAAGTATTAGTCCGAGTGCTCAAGTAGCAGCGTTATTCAGTGGGATGTTAAACGCGTCTTACAAAAAGATTTATTTTCTTTGGTTGTAGTTCTTGGCAGTCAATAATAAATGATTAACACAGTTCATCCTGCTAACCTGCCTATTTTAACGCTTATTTAACTTCCTCCTAAATATTCTTTAATTCGTATGGGTGTAATGTGTTTGTAAAGAACAGATAACTTAAAGGATATGATCACATAGACAATAAAACCTACAAAATACAAAATTGGTTGTAATAAATTTCAACTCAAAGAAAAAAAAGTATGCTAAATTGAATACTTATATTATCATGAGAGATTTGAACAAGAAAATGCACTTTTAACTACTAGTGCCCGACTGATATGGAATTTTCCGGGGTCATTACTGATATCTATATTAGGAAGAGAAAAAAATCCAGTTATATCAACTACTTGTTTAAAACACCCCTGAATGTCTACATGGATAAGGCACCAATCTTCTAGTTTATAAAAGCTATAATTGTCATTGCCACGCCCTTGTTTCTTTATGCATGCCCTGTATTCAAATACCACAACTACACGAGAAGTCATTAAACCTCTCTGTGTCAGATTCCTGGAGGATCTCAGCTGGCGATGACTCTGAATTCTTGTCCCTCAGGAAGCAAAACGTTGCTGCACTTCTGTGGAATCAGACCACAGCACCTGACACATTCCCAGAATGAGAACGTTCCATTGTTTCCACAAAATGTTCTGTGATTGAGTCATATTACAATCATGAACAGTGTATTATTTGAGTGAAGACAGTGGTGCAGCTATATCAATCAAAACACCATCAATCAATCTTTATTTGTATAGCGCCAATATTAAATGTTATCCCAATGTACTTTACCAAAAGAGCATGTCCAGACTGTACTTAGCTTTATTATTTACAAAGACCAAACATAATTCACAAAAAGCACAACAAAAGTAACAGTGGTGAGGAAAAACTTGATTTAAAAGGCTTAAACCTTTCAGAAAGAGACATAAAATGAAACAAACAAACAGCAACAACAACTGCAGCTAACGCAGACTTAATGATCCAATGCCAGTAGTAGAGGTGAAGGTAACTGTGGCATTAGCAGGAACAGCTAAGTATGATAATCAACAGATAACACTTACTTTCTCTTTCTCTTTCTGTACTGGTTGTGTAATTGTTTTTTTTTTTTAAACTGTCCACTGACCATGAAGTGAAATTGGAGTTGTTTGTTTCCAAGTGTGGACATTTTTCAAACACTTAGCAAGCCAGAAAGTTGATGATTTGTAGATGACTTCCAGATGCTTAAATGCACGATGGTTATGGATGAAATAAGGATTGTGGAAATGATGCTACACCATACTCGCAAAGCATTATCTAATTTATCAATAAAAGCAGAGATATAATTAAAAAGAGCTGTCAGTGTTAAACAGTTAGAATATCTTGTAGCTAATCCTGATAACAAACAAAGTCCGGCAGTCAAATCTGAAAGACTTTGTTTGTTATCAGGACAGTCAAATATCTACTAGCTATTCCACTTCCGTCCCCTGTCCTTGAAGAGCACCTGATTACTCTACCATTTTTTTTGACCCTGTGCAGCGCTCGCTTCTACCCTCTTTTAAGTGATGAAATCTTCATGTGGGTCCAACATTTTTTGGAAACTGTAAAGCAAAAACTGCAAGAATTAAATAGTTTAAAATGTAATATTGTGAGGAACCTACGTCCAAATCGTGTTATTTTGACCCAAAATATTGAACAGATGATTTCATTAGTGGCCCCTATGTTCATGTAGAGTTCAAATTCAGAATATATGTTCCTAATCCTGCACATGTAGAGCACACAGTGTGCATGTAGCTGCAGTATTATGGAGTTAGATAATGGCTATTAAAGTTCTGCACGTTATCCAGCAGACCTTTCTCTGTATTATTTCATTTATCCGTTAACATGTCATTCTTTCTATAGTCTTTGTGCCGCCCTGACTTCCTTAATGTTATCATGCTGTGATGTCCCTTACTGTATATGAACTGCATGCATTCCTGTGCAAGGAGCCCCAGCTGTTACTCCCTCTCCAGTGTAACTAACTTTCATCCAATAAGTAGCTATCTGTTTTCTGTTTACATCCTGTTTCCTTTCTACTTTCCTCCTCCTCCTCCTCCTCCTCCTCCTCCTCCTCCTCCTCCTCCTCGGCTCTTTGATTTTGGTTTCTGTCCATTGTCCTTCTTCCTTTTGATTTGGCCGCCATGTGTGTCCATGTCTTCCTTTCTCCCCCCCCATGTGTTGCCTTTTCGGGTGATAAGCCAAGGGAGCGTGATTTTCTGAAGACATTGCGGTTGGTGAGTGGGACAGAAGCATGCGCAGTTGAGCAGCATGATGATGGAGACACGGTGGATGATGATAAGGGGGTACGTGTGGCCTGCCCCCCCAATCCACCCACCCACCCATCCACCTTACCCCTCTTTTAACAAAAACTAAATCAGAGCGTGTTGTGGTCGGTTAACAGGAATGAAGAATCAATCCCACTGTATGATTTGTCTTTTGCTGTAGCAGAGATTGTAGTTCTTCTATAGGCGTGTAGACTTTTTTTAAAATGTTGCTAAATTTGTGATTACTTTGAGAAATGTTGTGTCACAAAAAAGACCTCTTTTGATCAAGAAAAAAATCCCAGATTACATAATCAGATGACACTGATGATGCAGAGAAATGATCTAAAGACCCAAACATCTTCATGCTCATGATTTGAATACACGTGTGAGACAAAAAAGCCTCAAAGCAACACATTTGGCGTTTGCAAAAGTATAATCAGTCAATAAATCACGACAAAGATGAGCCCTGAAGCTTGGGTCTTTATATCTATTTCAGTAGCTTTGCCCATCATTGAGCCATACGATCAAAGCACTCCAAGCATTGGTGAGCATAAGGACATTTTTCATCTGCTGCTTTTTTGGGTAATTGCTATTTTGAAACCTCAAGAGGGCCTCATAATTGAATGAGATCCAGTGAACGTAAAGCCTGGGGAGTGGGGTTTATAAAAATCTTATCGCTTTGCTATGGAGATGAGCTGGATTCTTCTCTTTAAGCTTTACAGCCTAAGAAACACGGCTGAAAGCAGCACAGTCCTCCACTGCTGCTGCTGCATCTTGGCTTCAACGCATTTTCCATTCCATTACCTCATGCTGTGGCCCGAATATCCAAATGTATTAGCCAATAAGAAGAGATTAAATACCAATGAAGCATCACTCTTAATTAAAAAAAAAAAAATCACATTTAATGAAAAAGCGCAGTGAAACAAATGTTCAATATGTTTCCGCTACGATTAAGATGGTTGTGTGTGTTGTCTAGCGTTGTGTTAAAATCTTGAAGGCCTTTGTAGATATGCACATGGTGGAAAATGTTGTGTACATGCACAGATTTTGAGCTGGCCTGCAGAAATGGCTACTTTTGCCATTGGTAGAGTTTTTGTGTGTTCTTTTAACCTCACCAGATCAGAGGGTAAGCATGTCCTGTAACCTCATGCTACTAATCAGTTTTCCAAAATGTGTTCTCTCCGATTTTAAGTCAGACCTGATCACGATGCATGTCCCCTGCTCCCTCTTTTGTGTCCACAGCCTCGGGAGAGAGGGAGGATGCGCTTTCACAGGCTGCAGAATGTACAGATAGCACTGGATTTTCTCAAGAGGCGGCAGGTATGGATCAATCAAAGTAAACAAAAAACGTCTCCTCTTGTTTTTCTGTCTCACTTTGGTTGAAGAATAGAATCATTTTTTTTTTTTAGCAAACAATTATCTTCAAAACATTTTAATGTGTAGATGTATGGATTAAGCTTGAAAATCTGTAGTAAAATGTGAGATTAAAACCCATCAAAGAGTGATGAAATAGCAAAAATCATTCCTCGGTTTTCTGCCTTTCCTCTCCCATTTCCTCCAGCCTGAATGTTCACATTATTAAATATGAATTTTCACATGTTGACACAGGATTGCAAACTCTCTAAAAGCCGTTTACCGCTGAATAGAAAAGGTTAAAGTGTCTGTTTATGCGTGCAGCTGCATTGAACTCTGGGAATTGCATCATATTGTGAAAAGGCAAACACATAATTGAACTGAGACAGCTTCACACAGTGGTGATTACTTAGACTCTGCCCGTTCTACCAACATCGCACACATGGCACCTTACGGGATGAAAAATGACAATTCAGCTGCCTGCCGCTAATTATAATAGCAGCATTTGAGGAGGCCTGACGGGGAATCACATCAGCAGGGGGTTCAGGGAGCTTTGATTGCCCTCCCCTCCCCCCCCCCGCTACAGTCGGGGTGTTATGAGGAACACGATCGGGCTGAGCCGCAGCCAGATGTGACGTAAGACTTGAGACAAAGGATTCATAGATGGTCACAAATGAGTTGTTCTGTTGTCTTAGCTAACACTACACAACAGACGCATGCATTGAATCGCTGCAGTCGTTAAATGAAAAATGATCTCACTGTTTGATCTTCCCTAAATCTCCCCCTGCAGCGTATTGATTTGAATTATTACGGATGATTAGGATGGCACTGGAGGGATTAATGAATCACTTCTGTATTGAACATGTGGAGACTCCTTTATGATTCACACCTTAAATTCAATAAATACACAGGATTACAATCTCCCATAAGTGGTGTTTATTTGAGTATTTGCAGGTTTATAGCATTACATTTGTAATAGCATCATCATTTATTTATTTCAACCCATTAAGGCAAAACCCTCATTTTCAATGGTGCTGAGCTACAAACAGCAACAGAGAAGATACAAATAAAATCATCAGAGAGGTCCAGGGGTTAGCAGTGAAGGCAGAAACAGGGATAAAAACACAGAAAAAGTCATAATATTAACATGTAAAATGCTTGTTTTCATACTCCCTGTTACCTCACAGTCTCAGGATTACAGTAACAGTGATCCCCGACATAAAGGAATGACTATATCGCCCTCTTGTGGTACTTTTTTTAAATAAAGGGGAATGTGGATGTGTTTCAACTTATTATTACACCAAATAAATGTTAAGTTGGATCCTTTTATTTTACCATTTAAGAGCAGGGATTTAGGGTTTGAATTATGCAACATATTTATCATGTGTGTCTTTTCATCAGGTCAAACTTGTAAATATCAGGAACGACGACATCACAGATGGTAACCCAAAACTGACCCTGGGATTGATCTGGACCATAATTCTGCACTTTCAGGTGAGTGTTCTCATCTTTTTGTTTTTGTTATTCATTTGTTTTTAGGTAATTTTTTAAGTTTATTTTTTGCACAGATACTAGATTATTACTTCCTTAATTTTCTTGTATATATACAACTTAAGTTATGTATCTTAAATCCTTCTTGGATCAGATTAAGTTACATAAAAGCATAAAAGCATGTCAAAGCACTCCAGATCAGTTTTTTATCGTTTATTTGTTCCCACCCATAAAATGGATTCCTATCTTTGACCACAAGATGTCAAACATGTGCAGCAGACATCCTGCTGGGTGTGTGACTGCGCCTGGTCTTACTCATTTCACATCACAGTGTTTACACGGCTCCCTTAAGTTCATGTTGGATTCTGCTCTGGTTGTAACTTGATGAGTTAATATCAGGTGGCTCTGTGTCGCTGAAATGTCTTTACAGGATGATGTGAGGCATGAAAACCTCGTTGACTCAGTTGTAGGAGCCTAAATGTACTTCATAATGAAGTCTGGTCTGCATGCAATAATCTTTTAGTTTACAAATTATACACAATAATTTGCATGATTAATAGATTTTAGAGTATGTGAAAGGAATACTTTCATTATTTGCAGTATTAACATATTAAAGCACTGTAATATAATAAGTCAAATGTTTTAATGATTATATTTATAATTTACTTGATCAGTTAAATGCATGAAATGTCACGAGTATTAAGGTGACTATATTGTTGCTTCCTAGTTACTAGGGTTAGGGTTGGGTTAGTTACTGCACCCCTTTAAGGTGCTTTGATCTTGTGAGTGGAGCTAGTGGAGTTAATTAAGCTTCTAATGTTAGTGGAAAACTACACCAGCTGTGATTACGTTTTTTTTTTTGCTGTGTGCAATCAAGTGAATGTAATTGTGATTCTACTTTGTCCTTTGCTGTCAAAAGAGCTGTAGCATTACCTTGTGCACCTGTTTTGCATATCCTAACGCTTGTTTGTTTATACAAATGATCTTTCTGTAAAGCACTATAGTAATTAGTGATTCAGTTGGCTTCATAAAAAAAGCAAATATAAGTAATGCATTTTAAGAGTTGAGGCATTTGTGCAAAAAAGTCTGAAACAGTAAAATGTGCAGCTACGTTTACAAAATACTTTCAAAGAGTTGTAATGGTTTGCTCTCCCAGAATGTTCTCAGAAATGTTCTCTCAGGGAATACTCTTCATTTTATTGCTGAAGTGACATAATTCATGTCTAGTGGGTTTGCTCTGTGTGTGCATGCCAGGAGATTCCAGGTGTCCAAGGAAGTATTCACATCTTTCCAAAAATTCTTCTTCTAACTTAAGCTCTCTCTCTCTCTCTCTCTCTCTCTCTCTCTCTCTCTCTCCCCTCTCTCGCTCTCTTTCGTTGGATTATTAATATCTTTGGCACCCCTAACACGGCTGAGTTGTTGATTGCACTTTCCTTTCAGACTTGAAGGCTCTGATTTGGCATGCAGCATTGAGCTGGTTCACGATGTTACAACAAGAACACATATGTGTGACTAATGCACTAAATGAAATAATTAAGGAAAAAGTAGTTGGTATCATTTTTGCCTGGACTCAAACGCGCTGACAGGTAGCGTCTGTGATGATGCCAACACCTGCCGCTGTCATTCACACGCAAGCCCCTGAGCATACGATCCAGCAGCAGCGGGCCTGTTTCTTCTTGATTTGGGTGGATAAGAGAACACTTCAGGAGAAAATGCCGAGCTTCAGCCATGGTGCACACCTTTTGGCTTATATAAGCGAAGCTGACAGCAGATGGACGTGTATGAACCGAGCACAGATTTTTATATAACGCGCCTTTGTGTGACGGGATGGGTTCCTGTCTACATGACAGAGGTTGTTGTGGGGGACATACTTAACGTGCTTTTCTTATTGCTGCAGGCTAGTTTTTTTTTTTCTTCAAATGAGCTTATATAAATCGAGTGATGTTGCAGCTGAACTCTTGGCCTCAAAGCTGCTGGTTTACTGTTACACTGCTGGAGTTTAGTTAAGGTGTTGCAGACACCGTCCATTGTTTGATCATCAAAAAGTGCCTCTGTTGGATTCCTCACAATATGTGACCTCTCTGTATTTTCACCTGAGGCATGTTATTGAGAGAACATTGGGCTTTAGTAGCTGTTAAAAAGTAATCGGGTGCTTCTTGTTTCTCTTCCTGATGTGAGGTCACTTTCTCTGTGTGTCATAGGGTTGCCACAAAACCAGAATTTAAAACGAGATAATACAAGCACAAATCAAATCACATTGATAACCCTTTCAATACCACAGCAACAAAAATAGAAGTCCTAGGTAAGGTTGTGAAATATGTCAATACTTGGATTCTTTTGAATTGCATGTGTTTTAAAATAATCACTGTTATTGTAATGATCACGAGTATCAGGAAGTACAGAAGCTTTAGAAAAAACAGAAGTCTACAGTCATATTTTAACCCGGAAGATGCAACGAGTAGAGGTGGGGAAAGAAATCGAGATTCTTTTCTTCTGAGATCAGAATCATCATCATCATCTAATCAGTCACTCCCTGCTAAGTGCTAAGGCTAGCTCTTTAACTCAGTAGAAAGCCAAATGGAGAAGAAAGAAATTCATCCAGTCCCACAGATGACTGGAGTAGATCCTGAATCGATACGTGAGACACCCAAAGACTCCCAGCCTTAGTAACGAGCAACAACCTGATCACATGTGATGATTGAGAGAGATTATTTTAAAATTTGTCTGAACCCTATTTCTGGGGACAACTGAAGACACTGTCTAAATTGCACAAATACATTGGCAGTGTTTCAGGACTGAAATGTTGCCAATGTATCTGTGCAATGTGTGCAATGTTACCCAGTGTTATGTGCCTGAGAACTGCATTTTTGTCGCTGTTGAATCAATACAGGTGGAGATATCGTTGGATTGTGACGAACTTACTAGAATGCAATGTGTGTTTTAGTGGCTGGTGACGGGTTCACTGTCATCACATTCTTCTTTTGATTCTTGTCTTGTTTGTTTTGCCCTCATGTTCTCTCACTTTAACTGCATGTTAAGTACTTTTTTCATTAAATTATCATGATTCAGTTTTCTCATTCATTCACACTTTCTTCAACATTGTCACCGATTAAAACTGTACCAAGGACAGGGTTTAGAAATCTTACTGAAATGTATCATGTACCAAAATAATCTGTTACTGCAATCACACCAGTATTTGGTAATAATACCATGATATGGCCGTACTTGCTGTATGAGATTGGGTAATCAGGAGACTGAACCGTGTGGGCTGTCAGGTGACTTTGACCTTCAGGGAAACTTCACTGGCGTTGAAATATTGTGAGCTCACAGTGACACTCTGTTATTTTTAGTTGAGCTGAGAGGTGACATTACATTTACTGTTTCACACGCTGCTTTATTTTCTCTTCCTGGCTGTGTAATTGAAGTATTCATTCATACATTCTTCTACACTGTACTTGTGCCCTCGCTCTGTTAGGCTTTGTAATCTTATAGTTGCTGTGATGGTTTTTATACGGTGAATCACGTCCTGGTCCGAGTTTTCCCCTCTTGTGAACTGCCATGGTGGTGATCTGGTCCGATAATAGTGTTTGTTTAAACCGTTGGACTTAAACCCGACCTCTGGCTCGGCCATTGTACGTAGCCTGATTAATAGACAAAGTGAAAGCACTTTGTTGTCCAGCTCGGATTTGTCCCTGCTCCTGCTGCTCTCGTTGACCTACGCTGTCCTGGTTTTTTTTTTCAAAAGCTGTCTGACTGGCTGGGACTCTTGTTTGCCTCATGAGGCCAAAACTTGCTGAGCCAAAATTTCTCACAGCATAATATGTGGCCATCAGCGGGAAGCACTTGCGGTTTAAACAGCGTCCTTCCTTCACCCCTCATTATAGACACAAATATTTGTAGTCGGCTGTGACGCGCACATGCACATGTTTACTGTGTAGACGAAGCAGACTACCAAGCCCAGAAACAGGTCTGTCCACAAGTCTTTTTTTCCTTCTCGCCCAGCTGAGAGCCGCAAGCACGTGGGGGCCTTGTCAGTGTGTGCATTTATGGCGTTTGTGCTGGATTAGCAAAGCCGGAGAAATGTTTCAAAGGTCAGGAAGGATTCCAGTGTGAGAGAGCGAGCACACGAGCATGCAGTGAGAGAGAGAGAGAGGGAGGGAGACAGAGAGGCTGACCGGCTTTCAGCTGTGAGTCTATGAGAGTGAATGAAAAAGGAAAGCAAACTGCTTCATATCTGGCTGCCGGTTTGTTTGTCACTGCTTTTTAGCCTGCTGTGAAAATGGCTTTCTGTCAGTGGGATAGTTGCTCTTCTGATCAAGCTGTGCTCTTTGGATACTAAACACAGCCGCTGTTGGCAATTTGTCGATGGGTAAGGGACCGTATGACTGTCAGCCATGGGAAACATCTGTGGGTGTGTTCGGGGCCCTAAGGAGGAATGCTACGTCGACCCCAAGAAAGCTCCACTGAGGCCCGACTCCAGAGAGCTCAAAGGCCGCCGCTACTTTCAAAGAAAGAAGAGGAAATCCGACTTTCAACTCGGTGAATCTTTCAGGATTCCTCAAGGGGAGGCCTGCACAAGCAATGCCATTAGTGAGGAGATTGAAGAGCGGCAAGACGACCCAGTCGAGAACACAAAAGAGTCCCAAGCAAAGCTGCTGGAAGTGCAACCACAGGTGGAGAAACATCTATCCAGGCAAGAAAGCATCAGCCGAGGTGTTTATGTCGGAGAGGTACCCGTTTTAATCCTCAGAGATCCCTGTGATCCATCTCATGTCAAGAGGGTAGCTTACAGGTCGGGAAGGACTTCCACAGAGCAGACGGACAGAGATAGAAGCCGGTCCACCGTGGAAGGAAAGCTTCGATGTGTTAACACGACCTCCAGAGGGGCCTCGGCTAAAGACGGTCTGCTCGTGAAGAAGCTGCTCCAGCGGCAGCTAAGGAGGGCCGTTAGCTTTGGAGCAGTGGAGCACATGCTACAGCCTTTGAGGGCTAACGACAGACGAGGCAGCGAGGAAAGGTTTGCCAAATTATATTGGGCTCTCAAGCGAACAGGAGGAGGAGACGGAGGACCATCACCTGCTCTGGTTACGAAGAACATCGACAAGCTCCCGCCAAATGTATTTCAAGTCAACACCAGGTAAACGAGGAACGTGTTGTTAATACACAATGCTGGTGTGATTGGTGGTAGATCATGAAAAGATTTTATTGGATGTAAAGTCAACATTGCAAAGCTGAAGTTAAGCACGAGAGTGAAGCAATCTGATGAAGTAAGGCATTTATTTAGAGCAACAGGTCTTCATTTTTGTTAATCTAATTATCTCATTACATAATTTTAGACCCCATCAGAAGGGTCCATTGTTCTTGTTCAATTGTTCATTGAGCATTATGTCATCATTGTTGCTACTTTCTGTGAGTTCACAGCCGTTTTTAGACACTTAATAACCCCAAAACATCTCCCACATCTTAAGAAGAATTTAAACTACAGGCCTCACTTGTACAGACGACTGTCGCGCAATCAGATGAACCAGACTGAACTGTTTATTTATGCTGCTTAAATGTATGTTAGGACAGGAACAGTATGTTGACATTTTTGTTAAAACCGGATCAGAAGTTTACCAATTGAATCATGTGCATACGCAACGTTACACTCTTGGTTTTTAAAAAGGTTGCGCAGCATCAGCAGAAACAGAAATTCATTTTAAAGGCAGAATGTGCAACACTATTACACATAACTAAAACAGAAATCAAGTATATCCTGTAAATGTGTCTCTGAGTCATGACTGTGTACAATGCGTGAGAAGCTCGAGTCCCGCTGGCTGTGTTGTCGTCAGAGCCGTGTTTACATGGACGGGACGGCCTTGTGTATAAAGCTGTTTCAGTCAAGGACAGGGGGAGAAGAAGAAGAACATACTTACTGCTTATTTGAATGTCACATAACTGAAGCTACGAGCTAACCTAAGTTGCTAACATTAGCATGCTAACACAACAATGCAGACCACAGGCAATTGCAGCTGCGAGCCGAGAACATTTTTTCCGCCGCTTGTGCTTAATTGTGGTTAATTATGGTGCGTTCTAATTGATAACGCCTTCGTGTGAACGCGAGTGAAGGGGGGTTGGAGGTGTGTCGCTGGAGGAGAGCGGAGGCTTCAGAATAGAGGAGGTGTCGCGTAACAGCAGTTTGTTGTTTGTTCTGGTTTTGATGTCGCTGGTGCTCAAGGGCGATCAAAAAGTCGCACGTTCTTCCTAAAGAGCTCTCTGAGAGAATAGCTCTGATTTTTATGTCATTGATTCATTATCTAAACGATCTCACCACAGCTGTTGTCTAGTAGGCGTGTTGTTTTAGTGATTTCAGTAGCTCATTCAGACACTGAAGTGGGTGCATGTATTGAAATTAAAACTTTGTCTCTAACTGTGGGTTAACTATAAATCCAACCTATTCATTGCTGCTGCTCTGTTTGTCTCTACTCTTCTCTCTATTCCATTTTTCATGCCCAACACAGTCTCAGCAGATGTTCATCCTGAGTCTGGTTCTGCTTCTTAAAGGAAGTTTTTCCTTGTCACTAACTTTGCTAAATGTTGCGTAGTGCTCATGACTGATTCATGTTGGGTCTTTATAGATAATATAACAAGGAGTCGAGTCTTTTACCTGCTCTTTTGTAAAGTGTCTTGATATAACATTTGTTATGAATTGGAAATATACAAATTAAGGATTGATTGCTGAACTGTTTACTTGTATAGAGTTGTTGTTCGTCCCCTCTTCTTGCACATTGTTCACTGTTTATACATGATTCTAAGTACTGTGTTTTGTAATGATGATTCTAAGTACTGTGTTTTGTAATGATGATTCTAAGTACTGTGTTTTGTAATGATGATTCTAAATACTGTGTTTTGTAATGATGATTCTAAATACTGTGTTTTGTAATGGCTTTGTTTGACAATCTGCACATTATAAAACCTGTTTATAGTCTAGTTGTTGCCAGACTTTTACAGAGTAAGAACAGGGTTATGGTTCTTCAGTGATAGACTTTGTATCATATTGATATCAATCATTCATACTTTTATATGTTTACAAAAAAAGGACATCATTATTGATTACACAAAATCTCTTCCCTGTTCAACATCAACTTTCAAAACAGTGAACTCACTTTACTACTTTTTAAACTAACAAATATCTTTTGAAAGTGATTGACCACAAACTGTTTGAATGTCGATTTGGCTTAATAAGAGGGCACATCATGTATCTCATTGTCTCTCTTTAGGAAAGACAATTAGGAAAAGATAATGAATGTGTCTGGATCTGTAGGATTATAAGGTTTTACTGCAGTCTTCACGTGCCTGCTCATCACTGAACAATATTTTGTCAGTGCTCTGAATTCTGATGAGAATCAGGAGTTTTCATCTCCTTTTTGTTGTTGCTGTTTTGCTTTTTGAAATCTCAAGGGGGCTTCATATTGAAAGACATTCACTGAATGTGGCAATGTGGGTTTTTTAAATGTCCTTCTGTCTGCATTCAAAGTTATTAATTGGCAAACAATAACCCAGAAATCACACATTGTTTCCAGCATAATTTTAGATCTGAAACTCTTGTTAGAATATAGACACAGGGACAGTGGGGTCTGATTGAGTTTTTATCTCAGTTATTTGAATTTGTTGTCCTTTTTTATGTTGTATTGGAAACTTCAACCTGTGCTGTGGGAAACAGACTTGTTCCAGACGGAAGTGGTCCTCGTTGGTCTGGATCGGTTGGTGTTTGACACATTTCCGTTGCTGAAATAGTCATCGTATTATAGTTTTAGACGGACTTAAGGACTTAAAACCGCTTTGTATCAGCGGTATTGTTAAAATCCTATCCTTCTTCTTAATTCCAGAATATTGTCCAGTGTTGGAAACAATACAATCTTGATTGGCTGGTCTGTGGATGGATTCTTCTCTTTTTTTCTTTATGACTGTGTTACTTTGTCTTTGTTAAGCTTGTTTTAGCTGCAGAGTTTGTTTCTGTTTTGTTTCTGTTCATCTCTGTAATTGCTATGACTCACATCACCTGGATGCAAACTAAATTCCACCTGTTGGGAAAAACCCATATTGATGAGTTGATGTTGGTATAAAACATACTCTTTATTTCTCTGCTGCTTTGCTCTGATTATCTTCCATGTCAAACGCATTCAATGGTTTAGGTAACAGGAAGAATATAGTCTTAAATGCTTGTATCAGTATAACTGGTGGTTTGTTGTTATAGCTGTAAATAGAAACTTCAACTCAGATGTCATAAATGTGCTTTAAACTGGCCTGCCAACGACACTGTGGACTCAACCTGTGAAGTGGCCATGTTTGTTTGAGCTCGACGTCAGCCTAATTATCAGTATAACATGTTGTAAAGTGTTGGGTAATTCATTACACAATTGTAACTCCCACTTGTGACCTGCTGACATTTTCCATGTTTGATATGCAAACAGAACTGTAAAATAAACAGATGAAGAAGGTTTGCATCTAATTAAGTCATGTATGTCAGTTGATGTCTGAGTTCTTTTTTTAAGTTTTATTTTTGGGATTTTTATGCATTTATGGACAGTGGACAGAGTGTTTCAGAGACAGAGTCTGAAATTGGGTAGAGAGAGAGTGGGGACAGACATGCAGGAAAGGGGCCACAGGTCGGACTAGAGCACAAACTCAAACTCATTTGTGGTGGTGCATTAGATTGCATCGCTTTTGAGGAGTGGCCGTAATTGTTTTCATGTAGTTATGGTGAATTCTTAATTTCACAGGGTTATTTTTCAGTTTCTCTGGGTTGGGCCTTCTAGTGAGAGTAAGGACAAAACATGATGGAGAGGTGTTTTGGTATCATGCAGCACAGATCTTGAACTTGAAGCCTCAACTCTGACCTTTAAGTCCAAGCTAAAAAACATTCCTTTTCTACACTGTGCTCTACCGTCTGATGGCTGCATATGTATTTTTACACTCACTTTGAATCATTGTTGTAATTATTTTTAACTATGCACCTCTTGTCTGGACTTTTGCTGTTTCATTGCATTTAAAATCTTTAACTCCCTTAATTTTAATCGTCTATCGGCCCCTTTGTTTTCTTTCATTACCCTTGAAAGCACTTTGAATTACCTCAGTGTATGAAATGTTCTTTACAGACCTATTTACTCCATGACTCTGAATGAAAACAGTCCCTAATTATTTTAAATCTTGTGTTTCTATTTCATGCAGATCTCGGAGATCCATGTGACAGGGGGGTCCGAGGACATGACAGCCAAGGAAAGGCTGCTGCTCTGGTCCAAGCAGATAACAGAGGGCTATGTGGGAGTACGGTGTGACAACTTCACCACCTCCTGGAGGGATGGGAGGCTTTTTAACGCCATCATTCATAAATACAGGTATTGTAACTGCAGAAGAGAAAGCTGCTTCATGATTATATAATTCTTATGTCCACTTTTCTTCCCTTTTTTACAATCTACTTTTCCCTGCCTTACTGTTGTTTCTTTCTCTCAATTTCAGGCCCGACATGATAGACATGAGCCGCATGTCGGCACAGACCAACAGATCAAATCTAGAGCATGCATTTGGGGTAGCTGAACAGCTTGGGGTGGCAAGACTGCTGGACCCTGAGGGTGAGGACATACACAGTCATGTTTGGTTTGGAAAAAAAAAAAAACACACTCCTTTTAAACTTTGTGGAGATAAATCAGGGGAGAGGCACTTGGAATTTAGCTTGAGGAGTATTTCCTCTGAGTTAAGATCATGTCATGTTGCTGACCTTTGACATTTACCTTTCTCATCAGACGTAGACGTTCAGTCTCCCGATGAGAAATCGGTCATCACATACGTCTCCACACTGTACGACGCCTTCCCCAAGGTACCTGATGGCGTTGATGGAATCAGTCCTCATGTAAGTTGATGGCACCGGTCCACCAGCTACTCCACCCAATCTGAGTGAAAGTGCTGAAGAGTGCTTTAATGATGGTGATCGTTTTTTCTCTGAACAGGATGTCGATATAAAATGGGTGGAGTACCAGAACATGATCAAATACCTCAGCCAGTGGATCAAACACAATGTGGCCATGATGTCAGATAGATCATTCCCAAACAACCCTGTGGAACTCAAGGTACTGAATCATTTACTCAGTATTATAAGCTTTATGTTGCACAAGTGAAGCCCAAGCCTTCACATTCTTTTAGCTTTGCATATGCATAAAGCATCAATAATTATCTGCTTCAAATAGCCCATGTGCAGAGTCTGCCTGCTGTAACTGAGACTTAAAGTGATGTTGAAGGGTATGAGATGGCAGCAGTCCATTTACTGCAAGAAGTCAATAGCTTTTAACGGTGAAAGAGCTTTGGTGCAGCCGTTACAAAGACAAGGGGAGAAAGAACACGTGCAGTGAGATTTCTCCAGGTTAATATCTCTTCTTGAGAAAAAAAAAAAGCACTTTTAAAAGCAGATTATAAACCCTACCTGTTTCATCAGTTTATGACTGAGCTTTAAGTGTGTTTGAGTACATGTGCATATGCATGTACCTCAAGTATGCTGAACTGTTCTTGTATGCGTTACATCAACGCCCACTGGACTTTAAAAATGTATCTTCCTTACATGCACTCTGTGAGTAGTTACACACACTAAGATTTTTTCTCAAAGTCCACTGCACAGCTCCTACATTGCACCTTTTGGTCATTGTTCATTTTTAATTTTTAATTTTTAATTTTTAATTTTTAATTTTTAATTTTAATTTTTTTTTTACATTTTTAAATTCTATTTTATATATTGTAATAGCTTCTTATTCTGTATTATTTAAGTTGTTGCTAGTTCTGCTTTATTTCCTTGTTAATTATTTAGCACCAATACACCAAGTCAAATTCCTTGTATGTGTAAATGTATTTGGCAATAAACCCTGATTCTGATTCTGAAGGTATTTGCAGACATGTATATAGTATAGCAAGTGCTATATGCTTAATGTGAAGCCCATTGTGATTCCATGTGTATGATTTGTGCTTTATAAATAAAGTTTGACTTTAACATGTGTGTGTAATCTCCTCCTCTTTTCCTCAGGCACTTTATACACAGTATCTGCAGTTTAAAGAAAATGAAATCCCGCTGAAGGAGAACGAGAAGACAAAAATCCAGGATCTCTACAAAATGCTCGAGGTACACAAATGCAAACCAGAGGAAGCATGTGGCTTTGATCACACGTTGCCATAATTGCAGTTTTACACACTGTAGTAACAACAATTCTGTCTTCTTCTGCGGTATGTCTGCAGATGTGGATCGAGTTTGGACGTATTCAGTTACCCCAGGGTCATCATCCAAACGATGTGGAAAAGGAATGGGGGAAATTGATTGTTGCCATGTTGGAAAGAGAGAAGAGCCTGAGGCCTGAGGTTGAAAGGTATGTGGAGGCCTGACAACATGAATACTCTGTCTTTCTTGGTTCAACATAACGGAGACAGATTGCATCTAAATCCCACCCACAACAAATGAAAAAACAAGTCATTGCTCTTCAGTGATTTATGAATTGCATGAAGGGGTCTTCTCATCACTTTATGCCTGATAGAAAGAGACAGAAACATGTCTAAAGGCTGCAAAGTGGTGGGATGCACAGACACCAGGGTCAAGAGCCCAGTTATAACTTATACAAGCAACTAAATGGAAAACAAAGTCTTTAAGAAGGCATCGAAAACAACAGGATTCAGGCATCAGCAGGCAATTAAAACACTGCACATTCAAATTAGTGAGGGTCAGGATCCCACAATCTGTGGAGGCATGAGCTGAAATGTGCAAGACCTGGATTATGATTTTTCTTGATGAATCCATTACTGTAAAGAAGTTTAAAATTCAAATTATTTTGTTTATGTCCATGGTCATTTTGGCGACTATGGCTCAGCAGTATAGTTGGCCATCTCACAACCTGAAGGTCAAGGGTTCGATCCCCAGCTCCTGCAGTCACATGTTGTCCTCGGGCGAGACACTGTACCCAAGATTACTCCCATTGCAGCGTCAGCGAGTCGGAATGTGTATGAATACTTATGGACAAGTTACACAGCAGCCTCTACCATCAGTGTGTGAATGTGTAGGTGTGACCTGCGGTGTAAAAAGCACTTTGAGTAGTCATACTAAAAAAGTGCTAGACAGCTTAAATCCATTTATCTTTTCTAAAAATGATTATTAAAGAGCAGGGACAATGAGACAGACCTTTAAATTTCAATTACTTTTCCTTAAATTTCTTCCGACATGCTGATATCTTGCATTTGTAGCTTGCTACAACCTTTTTGAGTGTTGCAGAACTTTCCTGCAGATTGTGGGACTGATTTTTTTTCTCCTCAGGTAGGCGTGGCTCTTTACAGTTTAAGGGCTGATCTATAGAGACTTAATAGCTCAATATTATAGGTTACAACTTTATGACACTGTTTAAGAGATGCAAAGTTGGTGATGGATATGACAAAACGTGTAATTGCTTGGGGCAACATACAAGGTTGTAAAGAAAAAAGTAATGTAGACTGTCCTGGTTTTCTATGTGAAACGCTTAACATACTGTAATTTGTCAACTAGCAACTAAGGCTGTCACAATATTTTACAAACCTTTAAAGCTTTTCAATACTTTCAAAAGAACATTTATGAAAATGATACATCTCTGTTATTTTAATGATAGATAGTATCGAAAAGTACCAAAGCTTTAAAAATACTTCAGCTCTTCAGTCATTATTTTATCTGAAGCTGCCACCAGTGAAGGAGAGTACTGTTTAAAGTGCACAAATATGTACCTCAGCATTGCCAGTGTATTTGTGAAATCTAGACATCGTGCTGGAGTTTCCCTGCAATTTTTGGTCCTTAAAAAACAGAAATGACCAATAACAGGTTGCCTAGGACTTGTATGTTTGTTGCTGCGGTATCGAAACAGATGTATCATTAATTGTTTAAAACTCAGGTTTCGTGATAACCCTACTAGCAAATATGCTACATGAGTCAGCATAATACTCCTGAGGTTGGTGCATGCAGCGTGCACCAGCATCAGATTGCAGGCTCGCCAACGTCTCTACTGAAACCGAACACTGGGCGTCAGGATCTGGGTTTGATTTTTAAAATGAGAGTGTAAATCCCCTCACTTAACCTTTGCTCTCTTTGATTGGTACCAGGATTTCCGAGGTGTTGTGCACAGTTTTGATTAATGTATTAATCAGATTTACCGCACATCTACTTCTACTACTTTGCAAATGAAAAGAGGTTTTGTTCTGCTTTAACAGAGGATCAAGTGATTTGCAGACTAGGCAAAACAAAAACAAAGGAATCTTTTTTTTTAACAAAACGCTTTCATGAACTGCAGCTTAGAAAGTAAATCAGGACAAATCTATGATCTATTTACTTAAAAGAAAGGTTAATCTGATGTCACTGCATGTTTCAGTAAAGATGTTTTTTTTTTGTTTATTGATGTGTCTGTCTCTCTCATGGCAAGCTCAGTCACGTTTCAGAGCTCCTTTTCCAATGTTTGTTTGCAGGAAGTATTTCATTTCCAAGGAACATCAATTTTCATATTTTGCACATTGTTGACATTGTTTCAGTTTACCATCTCCCTCATAAACACGGCGTATTTACAGCATTAAAGAAAGTTGGGTGTGGTAAAAACTGGCAGAAAAAGCCATTATAGCAGAGAGGCAGGGCTTTGTACAGTCTCAACGTGTACAAAGGTGTACTGTCTCAACCTGCTGTGTGATTTTCATCCCCTGAGGGCAGCAAAATTATTTTCAGGGTGGGATTCATTTTACACGCTCCTCACCTGGATGGCCCTATAAATAAGAGCACGGTGAGAGCCGCCCCATCAGTAAGCTCTGCAAAAGCTTGCAGTCAAACTGTCAAGGTTAGGGCGAGGCTTGTGTTGTTACAGATGGATATTTAGGAGAAGAAATGTAGCAGCTGTAGCCTGAGTGGCTTCGGAGTAGCAGCATAGTGAAGAAGGATGGCTTACTTTAGCGGGTTATCGTCTGTTAGCAACGGCAGCTTCACCAGTCTCGCTTCCAATGACACCATCATCACTGAGCCTTTACAAATGAACAGCTCAGTCTTTCTCAATAACAACATTTCCTTTGGATCCAGGTGAAGTGACAGAGTGCTTGACTTTTGTGAAGATTTTCATTTGTTTTCAACTTAAGTGATAACTGCTTTTGCTAAAAAAAAATGTAATCTTTCTGTGTTTGGTAGGCTGGAAATGTTGCAGCAGATTGCCAACAGGGTCCAACGGGACTGTGTTTATGGAGAGGACAAGCTGGCGTTGGCAAGAACTGCCCTGCAGTCTGTAAGTTTTCTGCAGACTCTGTTGGACTTACAGATGCTGTGATGACATCGTGCAGAGTTTTGAATACCTTTCTTTTTATTCTCTCAAAGGATGCAAAACGTCTCGAGTCTGGTATCCAGTTTCTTAATGAAGCAGAGATTGCTGGCTACCTTTTGGAGTGTGAAAACATCCTCAGACAACAAGTGGTTGACATCCAGATTCTTCTGGATGGGAAGTTCCCCTTTGCAGACCAGCTTGTCCAAAGGTACAGAGCGTGACCTCTTGCAAAAAAAAATCAATCACTAATTTGCTATGAATTTGAATTGAACTCACTCACTAAATTGTTTTTGTCCTTTTTCAACACAGGGTATCAAAACTCCGGGATGACCTGCTATCTCTGAGAGCCGAGTGCTCGTCTGTGTACAGCCATGGCCGCACGCTGACAACAGAACAAACCAAAATGATGATCTCCGGCATCACACAAAGCCTGAACTCTGGTTTCTCGCAGAACATCAACTCAAGCTTGACACCATCCTTTTCTCCTGCACTCACTCCAGGGGGGTTAGGTACCCCTGGATCCACGTTCACCTCTAGCCTTACACCGTGCCTCACCCCGTCCTTGACACCTGCCTTGACCCCCGGCATGCAGCCTTCTTCGGTCCAGAGCTACATGGGGAGTGGTGGCGGCATGGACCCGAGCAGCCTCAGGCATTTGAAACACATGCAGATCCGCAAGCCCTTACTGAAATCCTCGCTGGCCGATTCCAACATGACAGAAGAGGAGGTCAACATGAAATTTGTTCAGGACCTCCTAAACTGGGTGGAAGAGATACAGGTGAGTAATCAGCATAAAGTGATTTCTAATGTGCTGTAGCTTTAATTCTGCAGAGTACTGAGTATTTGAATCTGTTTTTCTTTTGTTTTAAGCTGACACTTGATCGTTCAGAGTGGGGATCAGATTTGCCGAGTGTGGAAACACATTTGGACAGCCACAAAAGTGTGCACAGAGCCATCGAAGAATTTCAAATGAGTCTTAAAGATGCCAAACTGAGTGAGGTAAGCATTTTGGGTATTTCTGAATCTTCTATCTTATAATCTTATAAACGATCGTAAATAATCTTAAACTCAATTTTTGTCTTAAATTTTGCTGCAGTTGCATAAAATTAAAAGAAAAAAAACTGTTTGTCTTTTCTCAGATTCAGATGAACATGCCCCTGAAACTAACCTATTCAGACAAACTGAACAAGCTGGAGAAGCTGTATGAGAGGCTGTTGGTAAGTGGTCTGTTTACCTTTTTAAAGTTACATCGTAAAATGTGTCTGTTCATGTCAGTTTTGTAGGCTAAACTCACGTTTTCCCCTTTTTTTTTTCTTCAGAGCTCTTCTCGAGAGCGTCAAAGCCACCTGGAGAGCCTGCATGACTTTGTGTCACAGGCGACTCAGGAGCTCATCTGGCTGAATGAGAAGGAAGAGGAGGAGGTTGCCTTCGACTGGAGTGATCGCAACAACGGCATCTCGAAGAAAAGAGACTACCATGCTGTAAGTTAGGTGTTTTTTTTATTATTTGACTTATTACTTAATCTGTGAAATCCTCAATGCAGACAGAAAAACAGAGGCTTATTCAAGGGATGGTTGTATATGCAACATAACAGCAATCTCAGGAAAGGAGCAAAAGCAGACATAAGAACAAAGCACAAGAACCCAAAAGAACGTCGCAGATGTCACCGACTCTGCACACCTTTCGTACTCAGACAGAAAAGCTGTGAGGCCCTGATGGCAAAAAAGAAAGAAAAGATCTTTGATATTTTGAGATGATGGAAAGAATGCTTCTTTACAATGACTGAATGATAGAGATATCAAGGTTTAATCTCTTCCCACAGGACCTGATGAGGGAGCTGGATGAAAAGGAGGAAGTGATCAAGTCTGTGCAGGACAAGGCAGAACGCCTTTTGATCAAGAACCACCCCGCCAGGCTCACTATTGAGGTAAGCCCTGCGTGCTTTTTTTCCCTGTATTGTAAGCTCTGCGGTCAGTATAATTATTGTCATGATTTTTTAGAATAGCAGGAGTGTCTCCACCCTGCATTCATCGCTGCTATAATCAAAAGCTCTTTTCATCTTGTCCCTGTAATTTTCCTGCTGTTATACCTGGATGATGTTGTTGTTTTTTTTTGTCTTCCAGGCATACAGAGCTGCCATGCAGACACAGTGGAGCTGGATTTTACAGCTCTGCGCATGCGTCGAGCAGCACCTCAAGGAGAATGCTGTTTATTTTGAGGTTAGCCTGCTGGCTGTTTTTTTTTTTGTCTGTAAAAATGGCAACGTGTCTTTGTCTCACACATTCTAATTCATCATTCTTCTTCTTCTGTGCAGTATTTCAGTGATGCCAAAGACTCCCTAGACTACCTTAGGAACCTGCAAGATGCCATTCAAAGAAAATACAGCTGCGATCAAACGAGCAGCCTACACAGACTGGAGGACCTCCTTCAGGAGTCAATGGTAAGCAGATACATGAAGAGTGAGTGCAGATGGAGATTGTTGCAAAAAAGAAAAAAAAAAAGACATGTTTTTTTTTTTTTTTTTTTTGCTGGGTGTGTCCCTAGGAGGAGAAAGAGCAGCTTCTTCAGTACCGCAGCACTGTAGCTGGATTAGTGGGCAGGGCCAAGAATATCGTGCAGCTGAAACCCAGGAACCCTGACAGCCCTGTGAGATCCTCCATCCCTGTTAAAGCCATCTGTGATTACCGACAGATAGAGGTATACAGAAGTCCTTCTTCTCCATAATATCCCAGTATGATTTGAAAGATTCAAACATGGCCGTACCTTTGTGACGTCTTTCTCAGATCACCATTTATAAGGATGACGAGTGCGTGTTGGCCAATAACTCACACCGGGCAAAGTGGAAGGTCATCAATCTAGCCGGCAATGAAGCCATGGTGCCCTCTGTCTGCTTCACTGTGCCTCCACCAAACAAAGAGGCTGTTGATATGGCAACAAGGTGAGATGCTAGTGTCTGGAACTGGAATGCATAATCCCTGCAAAACTGAAATGGGTGGTTCATTTGATTTGATTTCCTTGCAGAACTGAACAGTTATACCAGAATGTCCTGGCACTGTGGCACCACTCCCACATCAACATGAAGAGTGTGGTGTCGTGGCATTATCTAATGGCTGATATACGAGCCATCCGCAACTGGAATGTGTCCTCGGTATGTTTGGATTACTGTTTCGCTCTTTTAGATCCCCAGCTGATGATCGATCATGATGATAAGGTTCAGGTTGTTTTATATCCCATGTATCCCTCTTACCCAAACAGATAAAGACCATGTTGCCAGGTGAGCATCAGCAGGTCTTGAACAACCTGCAGTCCCACTTTGACGAGTACCTGGAGGACAGCGAGGAGTCCGAGGTATTCACGGTTGCAGACTGCGCCCAGCTAGAGAGAGATGTGTTGGCCTGCAAGGAGTACTACCAGGAACTGCTCAGATCTGCAGAAAGAGGCAAGGCTCACATTCCCTTTCTGACCCTGTAAACTAGTACCTGCCGGTGCAAATTGAACAAAAACATCCAGAGGGAAACACATGGACCTTAAGCCTGTTAGTCTTTAGTTAATGCCATTTGGAATTTTGTTGTTTTAAGAGTTTTGTTTGTTAAAACAAGTTTCTATGGAGATGGTGTTCGTAGCTCTGAATGAGCAGCCACAGATGCAAAATAGAGGAGAGGACATTTTTTTTAGAATACTAATGTTGTATTTTGATAGTACTGCAGAACGTTTGTTTATTCAAACCCGGACACAGATATATTTATGAACACTAATTTATATTACTTGCCTCCTCTTTTCCACATTAACTTTTCATCTTTTAAAAAACAGTGTGTGCATGTCTACGCTTAATTAGTGAACAAAGTGCTATGACTTAGCTGAACTGCATCAGGTCCTTGCCAACAGGATTATGATGCCATCTAGTGGTGACTATTTGTCTTGCTACTTTATGTATGAAATCAAATGTGTGTTTAACACTTCTTTTTATTTTATCTTGTAGTATCACCTGTTAAATTGCTGTGATTTAAAAAATGATTATTAGTTTTAGCTTCAACAAAACTTTCCCATAATCTTTTGAGAGTCACATGTGTTTGATATTCTAATGGATTGTTTGTACTCATTTACACAGAGGAACACGAGGAGTCCGTGTACAACCATTACATCTCAGAAATACGCAACTTCCGCATGCATCTGGAGGCTCATGAAGAACACCTGATCAGGCAACTCCGTACGCCTCTGGAGAGAGACGACCTGGACCAGAGCCTGCAGCGCATCACTGAACACGAGGTATCCATCTCGGTATAAATGATCACTCACAAATTGTGAAATCCTCAGCCGTGGTGTTTCTGAAATCGTGATTTTCTCCATGCTACCTTGCAGAATAAGACATCAGAGCTGGATAAATTGAGAGGGGACCTTGACGTCATGAAGGAGAAGTGTGAGGTGTTCCTCAGACAGGCTGCAGGTTCTCCTTCAGTGCCGAAGCTTTCCTCTGAACTCTCCGTCCTCGTTCAGAGCATGGGCCAAGTGTACTCCATGTCCTCCATTTATATGGACAAGTAAGCCTAACTTCTTTGTGCAAGAGTCGAAACAGTGACTTTTTTCGATATTTCGACTATTTATTAAATGCATTTAAAAACTGAATTTAATGGGGGTTCTCTTATTTTGCAGACTGAAAACAGTGAGCTTGGTGGTGAAGCACAGTCAGAGTGCTGAGGCGCTTGTGAAGGCCTACGAGTCCAAACTCTACGAGGAAGATGCCATGAACTCTGATGTCAAGTCCATTGAGGCGGTCATCTCAACACTGAAGGTAAACTAAATGTCAGATTCAACATTTCACCGACTTCGGCAAACTTTTTTCTTAGCTCACTTTTGAGACATCTCTCCTTCTATGTGATTTTTAGCAATGGCGGACAGAGATCGATGAGAAGCAGGAGGTGTTTCATGACATGGAGGACGAGCTGCAGAAAGCACGAGTCGTCAGCGAACGCATGTTCAAGGCGCACAACGAGCGTGACTTTGACCTGGACTGGCACAAGGAGAAGGCTGATCAGCTGAGTGAGAGATGGCAGAACATTCACTCCCAGATTGACAGCAGGTCAGTGTTCACTGCTTCTTAAAGCATGCAGTTTAAATAATTGTATTCAAATATTATAAGTGTGAATATTTCTATGGACTATAACTTTTCAATTTCAGGCTAAGGGACCTGGATGGTATCGGCAAATCATTGAAACACTACAGAGACTCCTTCAGTAATCTCGATGAATGGGTGAGAGAAATGGAAGCATCCCAGCTGAAGGCCCAAGAAAACAAACCTGAAGATAGCAAGGCGCTGGCTGAGCTGTTAAACACACAGAAGGTACAACAAGGATTCAGCTCTTGAAAACAAGACAAAGAGTTTACATTTATTTGGATTGCTAAATATGTATTTAAAATATTTGCTTTTTTTCAGGTCCTTGTCGCTGAAATCGAACAAAAACAAGGCAGAATTGACGAGTGTCAGAAGTACTCTGAGCATTACTCGTCCTCCATTAAGGTAAACTGTTTTTTCAACATTTTTTTTACCAATGCTTGTTAAACTTTCTTATGGTTTTACAATATGTGCATTTAGCAACTTGTGTAATTTTTACTTCAGCTTTGTTGGGCAAGGATCAAGTGACGCTCTGAACTGAAAAACTAGGTTTCACCTGAGAAGGAAAACAACCTTGTAACCTCTCACATCTCTTTCCAGGATTATGAACTTCAGCTGATGACCTTCAGAGCGATGGTCGACTCCCAGCACAAATCCCCTCTGAAGAAACGGAGGATGCAGAGCTGTTCTGATTCCATTCAGCAGGAGGTAAAACGGTTAATACACTTACTCAGGACAGGGACACTTGAGCTCTAAGTAAACACATCTCAATGACAAACTTGTGTTCTTTTTTTTGTCTTTGTCATACAGTTCATGGACCTCCGAACACGCTACACTGCTCTGGTTACCCTCATGACGCAGTATGTGAAGTTTGCAAGTGAGACGCTGAAGAGAACGGAAGAAGAGGAGGTGAGAGAACCATCTCTGAATATTTCATGGATTTCCATACTTGCTTCCATACACTACAGTGGCTCATGCAGCACATTTTTAGACTTGTGGGGGCTATATGGATGCTTTAGATTGTACATTTTCTCTTTGCATGGTTCCTAGACCTTCTGGTTTGCATTCAAAATGTTAACCTCATTGTTAAATTCATTAAATAATGAAGTAACAGACAATGTTTTTCTAAGCCTTCTCTGCCATAAGTTCTTTAATTCCTCCAAGGGTCGTATTTCTTTATTGTTGTGGTCAGCTCGTCCTGAGTGGAGATCTTTGCTTCAGTGCCCAGAAGAAGCAAAGGAAATGCATGTGTGCATGAATATTTATGAGTATAGCTGGTGATGGTGACCTGCTGGGAGGAGAGAGACTTTTTTATTCCTCGACAGAAAGTCTTTCTCATGTAGAACTTTCTACAAGACATGCAGCCTCTCCAGGAGTTTGTGTCCATATTTGTTTTGAGATGTATTTGTCTCAGATCAATTTTCTTGAAGTGTCATAAGATGGGAATCTGAGGGTAAAGACACTGATCAAATCAATGACAAGTACTTTAAAAAATGTTTTTATAGAACCAGATTCCTTATTATTAAGTGTTAAACCTGCAAAATATCGCCAATTTCAAAATCAGGCGATCTTGAAACTGCACTTTCCTGGAGGGATTGTTTGATATTTCTGCAGCTTTCTGGTAAGAAGTAAGAATTTCATGCTTTTTTACAATATGGATTGAACTTTTTAAAAAAAGTGGATGACATATTTTTTTGCATTATAGAACAGAAAGGCTAATGACAAAGCAGAGAATACAAAGTGGACAGAGAGCATGGAGCTCCAGAAAGCTGAAGGGGAAGTAGAGGTTAGTCAACTTAGACAACAAATCCTGGACCAAGAGGCTCTGCTGGTTGAACAACAAGAACAGCTGGAAGGGTTGGAAGGAGAAGTGGAAACACAACAGAAGACGATTGACGATCTAACCTTTCAGAAATCACAACTTGAGCATGACGTTCAGCAGTATAGCACCAGGTTAGACATAGCAGTTAAAGACAAAGCTGCCAGCGACGAGGAATTAAGCCATGCGAAACAGCTGATAGAGCAGTTAGAGGCCAAGTGGGCGCTCACTCAGGCAAACCTAGAGGACATCTTAAAGAAAACAAATGAAGATCAGGAAAAACAAGGCCCCCAGCTTCAGAGGTTGTTGCACATTGAGGAAAACATTGAGGAACAGTTGCAAAGTGAAGTCCACTCTGTGGTATCAGAGACAGTTCACAGTGAGTTATCTGCAGTTAGAGAAAATGAGAGAAAGATGGGAGAAGCCCTTCAGCAGAAACAGGAGGAGCTAGACTTGGTGCAGAAAAAGGCAGAGATGGCTGAAGAGAAAGCAGAAAGTTATAAAAAGCTGTTGGATGACAGCAATAACAGGGTGAAGAAACTGCAGATGGACATGGAAAATGAAAGGAGTACCATGAGGCAGAAAATAGAGGATGTCCAGCAGGAAGCACAGAACATGAAGAAATCCATCTATGAACTTCAGGAGGAAATCAGATCTCTCCAGAGAGAAAAGTCTTCGTTGGAGCAAAGCACATTTTTCCAAAGCACCGAGGTGGAAGGTCTCAAAGAGCAGCTGAAAATCACACAAGGAGAGCTGCATAAGAAAAGCTCTGTGGAGCAGGACAATGTTTTTAAAATCAACAACTTGGAAGAGGAGGTAACTTCAAAGCAGGCCGTAATAGATCAGCTGAAGTCTAAATGCAACGAGCTTACGAGGATAAACGTCTCGTCTGATAGTGACGTAAGAGGCCTTCAGAGCCAAACAGAGTCGCTGGAAAAAGAACGATCATTTTCCGAGCAAAAGATCAAGTCCTTAAAGAGCGAGATAGAGAGCTGGAAACAGCAGCTTCAAGCGGCTAACGATGAAAATAACTCAATGAGGAGATCCGATCAGGCGTCGCATCTCAAATGCAAGAACCTCGAGGCAGAAATTCAAAAAAGTGAATTAGTTGCTGTACAGCTGCAGAAAACGGTAGATGAGTTGAGGCAGATGAATACAGAATGGAAAATAATCTGAAGAACGCGAGACTTAAACTCGATCAGGTGAAGATGGAAATGGACAGTAAAGATCAGCAAGTTAAAATCTTACAGTCTCAGGCAGAGAGCACCAAGTCTCAGGTTAGAATTATTGAGGAGGAACTAAATAGGAAATCCATAACCTACCATGAGCTCCAAATGAAACTGCAGGATTACAGTGAGGAGGTAAGGGACATGAACGAGCTGCAGCAGAAAATCAAAACATTCAACTCTAAAATGATCAATTACGAGAGTGAGATATCCAATCTGAAATTAGAGCTGAAGTCGGTGTTTGCTGAGAGGAACTCTGCAAATGAAAAGATCCACATGCAAAACATTGAAATTAATGATTTGAACATGACGCTAATGGAAAAAAACGCAGAACTGCAAAAAGAAACCGCTGAGAGTCAAAAACATCGCAACAAAGTCCAGGCGTTAGAAGATGAGCTTTTTAATCAAAAGATCAGTATGAAAGGGGTAAGCTGCAGCTCAGAGGAAATTATAGAGACCTAAAGCAGGAGATGTATTCACTCCAGAACGACAAGAAAGCAACAGAGAGGAAGCTAGAATCTTTGAATATTAAAATGTCAGAGTTGAACTCTTCCCTGCAGAGAACTAGGGAGGAATTGTCGAAAGAGACCCAAGATAGACGAGCCAAAGAATCTAAAATATCGCAGCTCGAGTCTGAGCTTCAGAGAACCAAAGTGACAATAAAAGAAGCGACATCGAATTCTGACAAATCTCGATCAAATCTGCAACATGAAAACACGATCCTTAAGAGGGAGAGAGGGGAGGCGGCGGAGAAAAACATCCTGCTGGGATCTGAAGTCAGAACGCTGAAAGAAAAGCTTCAGGGAGCTCAAAGAGAAGCTGAACAGAAGCAAAGAGAAAACTCTAATCTGCAGCTGAAGGCCGAGGAGATGGAGGATCAACTTGAGAAGTGCAAGAAAATGTTAGAGGAGTTAAAAAACAAACTAGACCTTCAGAAAGAGGGCTACGAGAGGCAGCTGATGCTGGTGCAGACGGAAATAGAGAAAAAGCTTGTTTTACTGCAATCTGAAATCTTGAATGAAAGTGGCAATTCAAATCAGCAATTGCACAGTGCAGGAGTGGCAGACCTGGTGAACAAGTATTTCAAACAAGACATCACACAGATAACAGTTCATCAAACCACAGCTGAAACAAAACAACAGACAGACCGACAGCTGCAGATCAAAATGGACAAACTGGAGCAAGACAGAACAAAGCTTGAGCTTGAGCTCTCAAAGGCAAAATCGCAAATCGCCCAACTTGAGGAAGACAAGCTGAAACTTAGCTCAAAAACAAGCACTCAGCAGCGCAATGAGCAGTCAAACGAGTCGGCTAAGATGCAACAGCTTTTGGCAGAAAGTGAGCGGAAACTGACGATGAAGGACAGGGAGGCAAAATCTCTTCAGGGGCAAATCGATTTGTATGTCAAAGAGATTAAAAGTCTGAAGGAAACGCTTTCAACGCTCGGGGTCAAGATGAAGGCTGAGAACCAGATGATGAACTATGGGAAAGACAACGAGGCTGCTTTGTTGAAGATGGGACAAGCAGCGATGCAGACAGCAGTTCCCTTATATCGATGTCCAAAATGCAACTGGGAGGACGAGGATCTCAAAATGAAAGTTTTCTCACAGGTAAGGACGAAGTTAGCTCAGCGGTACTGCAACACAATATCGTAGTCATGATGAAGTAAAGATAATTCACTGATTGTTAAGCTTCAGCTTTTCTGGTTATCTATAACAGCGAACAATAACCTTCTGTAACTAAAAGAGATCTTCCATGTCATGTCTACAGATATCAACAAAGGAGAGAGAAAACCCTCTAGAAGTGCAGAAACAAGTCACACAAGACAAAATGGAAGTGATTCATTCAAGCCTTCCTGATTCACCAACAAAGAAAGTTTTGAATAGCTCTAGTAATCAAACGTCCACTGTGCTCCAAAAGGAAACGCAGAATGTCACCAGTACGAGCCAGACCAAATCCGAAGAGCCCACTGCTGTAGCGACCCAGGGATATTTGGCTCTGTGTGGGCTGACAGACAAACAGGCGACTAAAATACACAGAGTCATCCGGACGACGACGTATCAGATCAACGAAACATGTGACGGTGTTAGCACGTCAGAGAAGAAAGCAGACAGGGAAGACAAACTGAGTGCGGTGTATTCAACTTCTCAAAAGTTCTCGGAAACCAAAGGCAACACAAATATTGAAAGCTTAATCAAATTTAAGTTCTTGGATCAAGAGATTTTGCGGAAGTTTGAGATGGGCCTCATCACAATGGAAGAGGTGCAGGCCTCACTCGCTCAGTACACTGGCAAACCAACTACGATTGCTGGGGTTTATGTGGAGTCCAGTAAAAAGAAGATATCCTTCCAGGAAGCTGCTGAGAAAGGCTTCTTAGCTAACACATACGCTCTTGAGTTTCTCGAGGCCCAGGCTGTGTCGGGAAGCCTGACGGATCTGGCCACGGGACAAACGCACTCGGTAGAGGAGGCCCTGGAGAGAGGTATCATAGAAAAAGGCTTGAAAGATAAACTAATGGAGGCAGAGAAAGCGGTTAGCGGGTACGCTTATGCTGGCCGAAAGCTGTCCGTGTTTCAAGCTATGGAGAGCAAAATTCTGGATAGATTCAAAGCCAAGAAGATCCTTGAAGTCCAGGTAGCAACTGGAGGATTAATCAACCCAGAGACCGGCGTCAGGGTGCCGGCTTGCATTGCTGTTGACCAGGGTCTTTTGAACGAAGAGTTTCTACAGGGTCTATATGATCCAACCAGTAACCCCAAAGGTTTCCACAACCCTGACACTGGACAGAAAGCATACTACGCAGAAATACTGAAGACCTGTCTTTTTGATGTAGACGGCGGTGTGTTTCTCTTCCCATTTGGTCAGAGACATCTAACAATCAACTCGCCCACAAGTTGCCATAGAGCTTCTGTTGTCATCAGCACTTCTGGCAATGAAATGTCAGCTTACGAAGCTTACAAAGCGGGACACATTGACAAGAGGATCTACCATTTTCTGTCACAGCAGGAAAGTGAGTGGAAGGAAAAGTCAACGGTCGACACCAACGGAAGCCCACGTCACCTCATAGCTGATGTCAGAAGTGGCCGACAACTTTGTCTAGAGTCCGCAGTAAGTCAGAGGTACCTCGAAGCATCTGAGCTCGAGAGCTACCGCAGCGGGCTTCTCAGTATCTACGAGATCGCAGACATCATATATTCAAGGATGGTCGTTGTGGAAGATGTAAACAGCCCAATTGCTGGTCTTTGGGACGTCAATCAGAGGAAGAGGATATCAATACTTCAGGGTTTTCAGCAGGGTTTTACCGATAGAAACACAGCGCTACGCCTGTTGGAGGCCCAGGCCTGCACTGGAGGAATCTGCGACCCCGCTTCTGGGGAGAAGGTTCCTCTCTCGGATGCTCTCAGCAGAGGTTTATTAGACGAGGGATTGAGCCAGCAGCTCCAACAGTTTGAGCAGGCGTACAATGGCATCATCCATCCCAAGACTTCAAAGGCCGTGTCCATTTCCAAGGCCGTTCAGGAAAATCTCTTCCCAAAGGATGCCGGTTTCCGCTGCATTGAATTCCAGCTTCTGACTGGAGGATTGATAAACCCGGACACTCATGACAGAGTCTCACTTGAGGAGGTCATCCAGAGCGGCCTGATTGACAAAGCCACTGCCGCTGTACTCAAAGATGAGAAATTCCTCAGCAAAAGCCTCACCTGTCCAAAGACCAAGAGAAGAATCGCATTCAGGGAGGCGCTCGAGAGAAGCGTGTTCGACTGCCACACGGGGTTAAGGTTACTTGAGGCCATAAAGATTCATGGTTTTGGAGCCAAATCGACATTTCATCATATTTGGGCATATAAGCAATAAGCAGTTGTAGATATTTGCTTGTACATAGCAAAAACTAAAAAAAAAAAAAAAAGAGTTTGTGTTTGTCTGTGAAGTTACCATTCTTGACTTCACTGTTGAATAATCTTTTCAGTTCACATCTCTTCATACAGTGGTTGATGCATCTTACAATGATATCTGAGCTTTGGTGTTTAAACTCTCATTAAAATGTTTGTTTTTTTAGGTATCCCACCATTTAAGGATTTGCCGCTTGCTTTCTTTCTTTAAGCAGATTTAACATTGTTGTCAAACCCCCTCATCTGTTTGAATTTCTAGAGGTCTGTTGATGAGGAGAAGAGAGAGCATGGTGATAAAGTTAGCAAACTATTGCACTGGATGTCCAATGTGAAACAGACTTCAAACAATGGTGGAAATGCCCAGAAAGATAGCAATGCCAACACAGACGCTTCTAATAAGCCCCAGGTAAATAACATGTGCTGTTTGTGGTGTTTTCATTGTGTCTTGTTGTTCATACCCTGCCACATATGTTTGTACATGAGACAATGCTTTTGGTTTGATGGTGAAGAGTATTTTTCTAGCATAATCATATCACAGCAATTTGGTGTCACAGTGCCTGATTTATAATAATAAAAGAATCACTGTCTACTTTCTATTCATTTTATTTATAGGGGTTCTAATTAGTTTATCAGATCTGATGTTTCCCCCTGTCACTTATCTCCCAATGAGAGTTTTTTTTTTTTTATTACTGATTTCATGAACGGACTCACATGTTGCACAAGCACTCATATTTCAGAACAATCAGCCCAGCTGGTTATCGAAGTAACACAATATATTTCCCATGTTTGTCCCTGTGGCTAATAAACCATTCACTCCACATACAGTCCAAAGCTGACATTATGCTACTTAATTAGGATTTAAATGTATAATCTCCCTGATGTGTAATAGCAATTGTTAGCGATGCAATACCATTTTAGTTGTGATAGATTAGCGTCAACTAGCAGTTTAGTCATTTTAAAAATCAATCCAACTTATTGACGTATTAGAAAGAGACTAAAAAAGGAGTTCAGACTCTGTCTTGTTTCAAAGGTTTTTGCTTACTTGGCAAAATCTGGCACATTTCTTATTTTCGATGTTGCTATTTGTGTACACGTTGTACATTTATGTTGCCAGTTCAGACCTGTGTCAAATATTGAGATAAACAATGTATCAATAATCAGTGTAAGAGCAAACTATCAGGCCTCTTAATCACACTTTTCTTTTATTACATTTGAGTAATCAGTGAAGCTTGTGCTGTTTTATCAACTATAAGCACTAGATGATATTTTTTGTAAACATAACAAACACAGTTCAAGTAAAATGTAGCAGCATGAAAGAAAGTTTTATTATTATTGGTATTAATTAGAAAGTGTTCTGAGTTTAGTACATAAATATATGTCAGTAAGGTTTATCTTTGCTAAAAAAAAAAGTATATATTTTAAAATGTAATATTAATCTCATAGTTTGTTTAATTTTATTTATTGAACCTTTATTAAACCAGAAAAATGTTATCGATACAAATATCAAAATCAACAAATTTAATGCCATAATGACAGCTTTGGACTTCTTATTCTAAGTTATTATAATTTGACACATTGAAAACATCTCTCTTATTCAGTTTCTGAACATAGTGAAAGTTTTCCTCATTTTCTGTCCGTTCATTTAAAGTGAATGGAAAATACCCAAAGCTGCGAAATACATCAATAGACAAAAGAAATCCAAAATAACGACGGAGATGAATCAACTCCTCGTTATCGCATACATAACAGAAATCCAACAAACCTTAGAGTCTCTGCAGAGTTGTTCTATCGGAGTGATTTTGCATTTTGTGTCATACTGTATGGATGTTACATTCCTTTTTTTTAAAGTATTTATCAATTTAAAGAAAATTTACATGTAAAATATTTCATCAAAGTCAATAGAAAACCCTTAATGCGATGTTTTATAACAATTTGAGTGTGTGTGAATGTGTGATCATTTGTGAGCTTTGTTTCTTCTTACTATTATCACACTGGTGGCAACAAAATTGTATAATAATAATAATTAGAAATGTAATCATCAAAACAGTCAAGTAGAGATACATTTCACAGGTTATCATGTATTAATGGACTATGATTCTATGTTTAAGGTGTCAGTGGAAGAAATGGTCACTAAGAAGGAACAAATTGCAGAAGCATTGAGAGCCACCCAAATGATGCTGAACAAACACAGTGACAAGTAAGTCAAGCTACTGTTGTCCCGCTCTGCACTTAAGACTTAGTCCACCTTGAGCAGCCTCAGGCTCATACTTTGTGTCTTTGTGTCTCACAGGATGACGGAAGAGGAAAGAGAAAAGGCCCAGGAGCAGCTGAAGATGCTGAATCAGGCATACAGTGAACTCTCCCAACATTGTTCGGATCAGACGTCCTCTGCAGAAGAGGTTGGGCTCTAGGCTGTTTCTTCTACTGTGTGGTTTGCATTTCTGTCCTATAATGTGTTATGAAACAGTGCCACCTGATGTTCGGCTGCATGACTAACCTTTTTTACCTTCTCTCCAGTACAATTTGAATTGTCTTTTGCATCTCTCTCTCTCTCTCTCTCTTTCTCTCTATTCATTTATACTCGATGATGAGGGACAGAAAATGAGACTTAGGAAATCTGAGTATGCTGTGAACATGCTTTGCTGCACCCGGCTTTGGTCTGATAGTCACCATAATTCATGTTTTCAACCTAAAACATACACAGTAATTCAGATTGGATGCATACCCATTTGCCAAACAGTGTGTGATCTAACTAACCAACCTCTTTTTGCAAGACACTGGAAACTGCATTCCCTGATGCATGATAGCTTTATATGTCACACTCCTGTTGCAACCATGAAGCAGATTTGCACTCGTGCACATGATGTTTTAACATGTCTCCTTTTGTCTGCTGGTGAGTTAATATTTTGTCTTGTTTTTAAATACTTCAAATCAAAATTCATCTACTCTAAATACAAAATATGGTACTAAAAATCTCTTCAGTAATTTTTGACATTTTCCTTTTTACCTTAGGATTCTAACTCCAGTGATGCTAAGCTTGTAACTGTACCCACGAGTGTCCCGATGGATGGCATGCCTGGAGTTTCCCCTCCAAAGACTGAGACCTCCAACCTCTCTAAGTCCAACCAGCCTGTGTGTCTGACCTCTGACGATGCTTTCAAACAACATGACGGTTATAAATCCAACCTGAACCATTCCCCAAAGTTGAATGAAGCAAACAAGTGCATACAGGGTTCACACATCACTTCTGTGTCTCTCTCTGATATAACATCGGCGAGGGAAGGGGCCACATGTAAAGACCCGATCATTAAACTGATCGATATCAAACAGGTCAGTGATGGAGTGAAGGTGTGCTACAGCGGGGACACACTGTCCCTGGAGGAGGCGTTTCAGTCTGGTGTAATACCTGCCTCCGTCTATGTAGAGATTCTTCAGAAGCAAAAGAGCCGTCATGATATGATGGATTTGAGCTCTACCGCAGATCAGACACCCCTAGATGTGCAGGAGGTCGAGGCTAATGAAGTCAACAGTCTGATATTAAAGTGCCTCAGCAGAAATAAATCACTGACACCAGGAAGGAGTGTTCACACCCTCAGCTCATCTGGCGAGAGTTCAAGTGATCGGGAGAACATGTCAAGGCCGTTGGGTGCTGAGGTGGATGTAGCTGACTTCAAAGAAAGTCAAGCTGTGCCAGAGGATGTTATGAGTAGTATATCAAACCTCCAGAATGCCGATAGACTGAAGGTGGATGCAGCCGTTCAGTGCGATATGATGAGCTCAAGCAGCACACTCATTGTACTCAGAAATCAGCAGTTTGTTGGACTTGTGTTGCCTCCCTTTGGGGAAAACAAAACAGTGTCTGAATCATTCCTGTGTAGTCATGAACAAATCACCACAGACGAGTTTACGAGCAGATGGTTTAGTGATCGGAGCAAAATAGCAGCTTTTTACTTTCCAGAAAACTCCGAGGTGGTTGATATCGACTCTGCCGTCCAGCAGGGTTTTATCGACTACTTTACAGCAGAGGTTTTGAAATCTATAGAAATCCCTGATGTGTTTCCTGATGTGGATGAACTTAATGAGAGGTTTTCGTCTTGGCTCATGTATAAAAAACTCACACTTGATGGATGCTGTCATGCTGTGAGTGTAGAAAACATCCCGACTACAGCTGAGGCTAAGCAGTTGTTAATCTCCTACCTAATGTTGAACAGTTACATCGACCCTAACACAGGACGGAGGGTTCTCATACTCGACACACAGCTCAGTCAGATGGTTCAAATCTTTCTCCAGGATTCAACATTTTCTGAAAACACTGAGAAAAATGTAACCTCTTTGACTTCAGATGTTGGTGATCAATCAGACGCGGTCAGTTTGGAGAGCCAGTTGCACATAAATGAGGAAACAGAGGAGATGATGAAATACACACAAGACACGTTTGCTCGTCCTTATCTTGTCTCCTCTGCAAATGGAAGAATTTCATTTGCAGAAAAAATATATGCAAATGACGAGGCGCTAAAACAGCATCCTCTCAGAGATTTTTTAGTTTGTAATGACACTGATATGGAAAACACGGAGCCTGAAGAAGCAGATAAAAACTTGTGTCAAAACTGGACAAAGTCAGGAGAATCTGCAGAGAGACTTTTTGAAAATACTTTACAACATGATAGCGTTGGAGGCGACTGTGAAGGTGATGAAGTTCCTTCTCTTCCAGACATTTCAGACTCATCATCGTTAGGGATGTTTGACTGTGAAATGACTGTGAAATCCTTCCACCAAACAATCACCTACACCCACGATGCTGACTCACTTTGCAGTGAATCAGAGGAAATAGATTTCAGCCAGGCTGACTTTTTTTGTTCGGAGGACTTTTCGGAGGCTGGAAATGAGCAAGACTACGTGGTTCATCTTCTAAAAGCAGAAATAGAGGAAGTGTCTGTTGTAGAAGTCACCTCCGGGAGACATAAACTAGAGGAACTGGAGGAAGTTCCCGGTGAGCGAATGGTTGAAGAGATGAAAAAACTGCTTCAGATGGATTCAGATGAAGAAGACGTTATTGTAGAAGATGAGGAGAGCACAATGTTTGATTCAAAACAGGCAGACTCATATTTTAGCATATCCTCAAATACACTTCTTTGCGTGGGTAAAGAGAAGAACCTTTTGGAATCAAGTGGCACCAATAGCTTCAGTGAGTCATTGAAGTCAGAATTGGTCGAAGATGACCGCAAAACAAACATTTATCCAGAAGAGGACGGCGCTCATTTCAGTCCTGATGATCACAATCTGGGCTCTAATATTATTAATGAAGCTGGAAGCACACCAGAGCCGGTTGAGAGGGAGGTTGCTGTCATTGTGCTTAATCTGACCAATCAGGAAGCTAATATCAAAGAGATGGAGAGTGAGAGTGGAGATGAAGAGGTAGATTGGGAGACAACAGGAAACGTAGATAAGATGAGTAATTCTCCACAGCTTTCCCCTCCCTCGGTCGGTGCTCATGAGACCGCGATGATCTCACCCTCGTTGTGGGGTCAGGTTACTGCAGAGTGTGATCATCACGCTGAGGGAGAGCATTTACCGGCTGAAGGCGATGACTCACAGGGTGCAATCAATCTGATGGACACAGCTGATGAATCAAGCGCTGTGATAGAAAACTCTGCTACAGCTACACAGTCACGTCCAGCTAGTCTGAGTGACAGGATTACTTCTGAAGCTCAATATTCCGCATCTGCTAATTCAGAATCTGACATTTCTACCACCGATAATGAGTGTTTCATAGTTGGGTATGATGTCGAAATGGGAAACCAGACAATAGGCAAAAGCGAATTAGACATTTCTTCATCACATCGCAATGTGTTTTTCGGGGAAAGTCAAATTGAGAACGACACATGTACAGTTCGGTCACCTTTGGACACCGAGCCAACTTTAAGTGGAGATTACTCATCGCTCAGGGCTTTGGTTGAAAGTGCAGTCGTTTCTGTCTCCAGGGGTAATTGTAACAATGATGACAACATTACAAAAGATGGCAGCAGAACAGCATTACCTCAACAGGCAGCACTTGATTCAGAAAGCGAATTAAGTGTTGAAACTGAGCCACAATGTTCTCATAACGGTCCGGGTATGTTTGTTCAGAGATCTCCTCAGTCACCTGTTGTTTTTGATGAAGTGGCTTCAACCAATACAACCAGTCTGAAGTGTTTTAATGTACAGGATTCAGAAGGTTACACTCTTTTGTCAGGTTCACATGACATTGAGTTAAGCCCACACAGTCTTCCCCAAGAGAGGCATCACAGGGACATATTTCCAGATTCCAGTGATATGAATCAGATCTCTTTGTCAATGAATACACAAATGCCAAAGACAGAAGATAAACTAAATGCGGATATCGGTGCAGAAGTCTCAGAGATGAATCCAGGAATGTCTGAAAGTTTAATGGGTGTAGGATTAGGATCTGATATTCAATCAAAGGAATTAAAATCAGATCAATGTGCTGCTGAGCATCACCAGGAAGCTGCTGATGTCCTGTCGGAGAGCTGCAGTACATCTTCAGCTCCATCTTTGTTTTCTGAGGCTGTAAGGACATATTCAGATGACCCGGAGGTATTGCTTGAAACGATTAGTGTCAGTGATTTGCAAAAGGCACAAACTCCAGACAGTGACTGCACGATTGCTATAATTGCAAGTACTCCACAAAGTGTAGACGAAGAGAGAGACACATTGCATGGACTTATAGAGAGCGCTCAACCCGATCTCCTCATGGACTTGCTGAAGCAAAATGCCCCCGATGTGAGCAACAAAGAAGGGGGAAGCTCAGAGCTGATCATACAAGAGGACAAAGGCAGTGAGAAGACAGAAAAGTCTGAGGCTCCAAACATCCAGCTGCAGCTGCTGGAGGTTCTCAAGTCTGTTTCCTCGAGCCAAGACCTGTCGATGCTTCAGGAAGTGATGGACACGCTGAACTCTGCTCTGGGGGGGGATTCTCAGGAGGAGCGGAGGCACATACTGGAGAGCATCAAGGAGGAGAGCTCAGGGGGGGAAGATGAGGGATCGGAAGAGGGTGACTGTCAGTCTGCTGCGACAAGTCACCGATCATCTCCTCAGTCGCCTGTCCGGTCAGATACCTGCAAAGTAGAGGAAGTCAAAAACAAGGTCGATTTTTATCTTGATGTTAAACACTCCTTTAGTTTTTGAAATAAGAAACATATGCTTAACTATTTTGACTTTTCCTCTCCAACAGCTGTACTCAATCCAGGATTACTTGGAGTGTGTGGGGAGACTTCAGGATCACGCTGATGTTTTAGATGATGTCGGAAATGACCTTTTAATGCAGGCTCCTGTGGGTAACCACATGGAAGAACTGCAGATCCAAATAGAGGAATGTCAGGTTAGAAATAAACCACTTAATCATGTTTTTTTGAATTGTAAAACATACTGTCACATACTATCATATGTGTTTGCAATTTTTCATTTATGTATATCTATGTATGCATTCGATTTGTGCTTTTCTATCCAGTCTCTGGAGTCCCAGCTTTCTAGACTGGCTGGTGTCCTGACAGCTGATTTGGAGAAAGCCAAACAGCTCATGAATTCTGCTGATGAGGGCGTTCCCATACAGATCCAACAAGATTTGGCCTCCACATATATGGAGCTGGAGCCTAACTTTAGGGCTGTTTCACAGATGTGTGCAGACAGGGGTCACTCCCTAATTCAAGCAATGGAAGCAGGAAAGGCAAGTGGTCAATGCTGGTGATTAACATACAATGATGTAATAAATGAATCAGCTGTTAATACTTAAAATGTGATTTTTAGGTACATTTGGAATCAACTTACCAGAAACATCTCAGTGATCTTAAGGAGTTAGCAGGCATCATCCAACACAGCTCTGAGATGAATGACAGGGATTTGAACACATGTGATGTGGAGACACTGAAAGATTTAATTCAGCAGAACAGGGTATCTTTAAAATCCCATTTAAAAAAATCAGTTTGTACACTTACAAACCACAACAACATCCTCAGCATATGTCTGTCTTCTCTTCCAGGACACTGAGAGCAATCTGCAAAAAGAAGCTCGACTCAAGTTAGAGGACATCACATTCGAAATCCAGTGCTTTATTTCTGAGCATGCTCAGTTCCTGAGTCCGGCTCAGAGCAGCTGCCTCCTAAAGTTCCTCAGCAGCACTCAGAGAGCATTCAGGGAGCAGACCGACAGACTTCTTACCCAGAGGAGCGACCTAGAGCTCCTTCTGGACACCTGGGAGAAAGAGAACCAGCAGAAGGTTTGCCTGCGGATATACTGTACAAACAGAACAAAAAACATCATGTTTTGCTAATCCTTACAATGCATGTAGAGTGGGCTGTACAGGCCCTGTTATGACTCAGATTCAAACATTGCTGTTGTAGCATGAAGTGTGGATAGAAGTAAAAAGTACACCAATTCAAACTGAGGCAGAAAAAGCAAAAATCTTCAGGTTAGCAAAATTTAATAATTTATAGACCAGTCAGCTCCAAAAAACAGTGAGTTTATTTTGTAAATGTATGCAATATTTTTGTTGATTCTAGTGTATTTAAATATATAACTGGACTTTGAAAGTGTCTTTATGACGTATTAAGAAGCATCCAATGTTTTAACATTTGTATGTGTAAGTGAATTATTGCCTTTCTTTTCAGGTTCTCCTTTGAATGCTTTAATCACATTGCATGCTCAAGTGCCTCGTCACTCCTGCAGACTAACCTTTGTGCTGGTTGTATCCTACAGGCCTTGAAGACACCAGTGAACAAGTATTTGCAGCAATAAAGCTTCTTTATGGGAAAACTTTCAACAATAACAAGCTGGACTGAATGTCTCCTTTAGAAGACCAAAGTGGCATATGGCAAAAAAAAAGCATGTTCACAGCATATTAGGGTTTTCACACGCTTGTGATAGAGGGAATTATTGTCTTTTGCATGTTTCCTTTGTATGCTTGAAATGTTTCCTCGACCTTGTTTTGTCTTTTGTGTTCTCCAAAAATGACTCGGATGGGTTTTCAGGGTTTGTTAGAAGTTTTTTTACGTGGTGCGAATGTGAAACTTCCCTTTTTTTGAGTATTTATTTTGTTGTTTTTATCTCGATTAACAGTCCTTGCAGGAGAAACACAAGGAATTCACAGAGAAGTTGGAGGAAGTGTGTGATAACCTCACCTGACAGAAAACCACCTGATTGGTCACCAGCAACAGGCTGAACATGCTGAGAGCGTCACAGACCTACAGCAGTACCAACAGGAACATCAGGTTTGAAATAATAACCCTCCTTATGCACAGTATGTTTCTAAGTATGTTATCATCAATGCAGATCTGTCTTGACCGCACTACTTCCTCTTGTTTGTCCTGAAGAATCTGCAAAAAGATGTGTTGACCAACGCCAGTGCCTTAAATGAAGTCATCACCAGTACCAAAAAATTTCTGGAGGAAAACCGCAACAAGCTGACGCCGGATGAAATCGCCGTCATCGAGAGCAAGTTAGAGGAGGCTAAAAGCAAAGCGAAGGTCATCGACCAGCGGGCCGAGGAGTCCAGGAAAGATCTGGAGAAGGTTGTTACCACGGCTATAAAACAGGAGAGTGAAAAGGTCAGTTTAAATGAGCTTTACATATATTTGGAAAATATGTAATGCATCAGATTTAACAAGCAGTGTAATAACCATATTGCTAAATTGAAGGTATGATAATATTTATAAAGTCTTCTATTCAGTATTGTGTTATCAATCTGTCTCTTCAGGCCGCAGCTGTTGAGCGCCTTGAAGAAAGTAAGAACAAAATCGAGGGTCTTCTGGACTGGATATCAAACATAGGGAATCAAAACGAGAACGGTCTGGTTCAAACTGACCATGTAAATAAAGAGAACGGAAACCTGCCTGAAGAAACCTCAGCTCAGGGACTGATAGGAGACGATGACGATGCCAACGGAAACGCATTACAGACCTCTGAAATGGACGTCGACGTAGAGACCAGTGAGAAGAAAGACGCCTCTCTGGATCTCGATAAGCAATATGACAGAGTCAAGGTATAGCTGTTTGTTGAGAGAATGTTAACGTTTGTCCAGGATTTAATTCTTACGAGGAGGATCTTTGCAGGCTGGGACTCTCTTTCAAACCCCAGAGAATTACTTCAGTTTAATATTAAGTTGTAAAACACAGCTTGTGATAAAATATGTGAAATAACATGACTTAACTTCACATGTCTTCTTCAATTTATAATCCGGTTTCACAGTAATTGCAGACAGGCCCCATTGCCAAAATAAAACACCCAAATAATATTTTGTTTGACATTTGGAAAATTGAAACGTCAAGTCAAGTGTTATCTGAAAACTTTGCTGTTAAGTTATGAAATCTGGTATTAGAAGAGATATTTGACATCATAGGAATTAAAGATCTATGCTAAATATGTTTAAATAGTTTAGGAGAAGTTAATTAGAAGTTATTGAAACAGAAAGGGGAGTAAAAGCAGCTGTTAAAGGCAGTGAAAACAAATTCTTATAAAACATGGATTTTAATTTAGTTTGGATTCTTTAAAAATGGGAATAAAAATGACTGCAATTTGTGTCGCTGTTGTATCCTGAAGACTTTGTTCTTCCCACAGGCCCGTCATCAGGAGATCCTGTCCCAGCAGCAGGATCTGATCATGGCCACACAATCAGCTCAGGCTCTCCTCGACAAACAAGCGGACGTGCTGTCTCCGCAGGAGAAGGAGAAACTCCAGAAGAACATCCAGGAGCTGAAGGGGCGCTACGACGCCTCGCTGACGCAGGCCGAGCAGCAGATGAAGCAGTGCAGTGTGTGCAGGAGGAGCTGAAGAAGTTCCAGGATGACACTGAGGAGTTTGAGGGCTGGTTGGACCAGGCGGAGGGTGAAGTGGACGAGCTGGGAGCCCCTGCTAGTTCCCTAAATATCCTCTCTGATAAACTCCTGCGACAGAAAAGCTTCTCAGAAGATGTGATCTCGCACAAAGGGGATCTTCGCTTTATCACCATTTCAGGACAGAAAGTTCTGGATGTGGCTAAAGCTTGTGGACTAAACGACCCTGCAGCTAAAAGTGCTCAGCTGAACGTGGATACTTCAGGAACCTGTTCTGCTGTCAAGGACAAGTTGGATTCAGCAGCCAGCAGATACAAAACACTACATTCAAAGGTATCTCTTTTGACAGAAATGTTGCAATGGCTTGATCCTGCCACTAGGTGGGAGCATTGTCTTCAATGAAAAGCCACGTAATGCCTCATTAAGATGTCATACTTTTCTATCTTATCACACATGAAGCTTAATTTAATTTCCTTTCTTTCAGTGCAATCAGCTTGGCAACAACCTCAAAGACGTGGTGGACAAATTCAAGAAGTATGACGAGTCGAGCGCCGGTCTTTTGACGTGGCTCAACAGCTCAGAGGAGGAGGCGAGAAAGCAGCAATCAGAGGCCATCGCAGCTGAGCCACAAACACTACAGAAACAGCTGGAAGACACCAAGGCAAGAGAAACAGAAAGCCAGGGCTGTAGTGGTTAGGCTTGGCGGTCAAGTTGAACTGAACTTTTCTTGGAAAGTCTGATTCATGGGAGTAAGACAAGTCTCTAAACATTGCATTATATTTAGAGGAACATTGTTTTTGTACAGTGATAGCATAAAAAGACTGGTGTGCATCCTTGCCTGAGCTCATCTTTGTTCTTACTACAACTCATAAACTCAGTTTGAATTTAATTGGATGTTCTGTTATGCATGTTAAAGATAAAAATAATCCCTTTTTCTTTTTTTAGAATGAACACATCCAGCATTTAGAGCTTTTACTATGATAGAGGGCCATGGCACAACAGACCTGTCTTACCATATACAGTGTTTCCACTGCCTTAAGTACAGAGTGGCTATTTATAGCTCTCTGTTCAGATTCAAATCCACATGTGAATAGTTTAACTCTGGTTATTTGTGCCGGCATACTTGCATGGGATAAGAAACTCAGCTGTCTCTGTCAAAGCTTTGGCTGCAGTTTGCTCAAACATTTCTCTGTAGGGAGGTAGTGACTTACGGCACAGATATGCCCAGATACGAGGCGCCTGAAGGCCTACTATGGAGCAGTGCGCTTTTGGCCTCGGCAGGCAGTTACAACAAACTATATCTGAGGAATGACTCGATATTTCCACAGATATTGTTCAGGGCTTTCTCACACACTTTCACTCCAATGTTTTTATTTTCATTCAAGCATCCTGGCAAAAATACAATCAGTACCATCCAGTGTGAATATAAGCAGAGGATATCCTTTAACGTGTAAACAGTGTCATTTTCTCACCCCTCTTCTTTCTCGTTGATCCACAGGCCCTACAAGGTCAGATGACGGGACATCAGACGGCGATTGACACACTTCGCAAAACAGCTGAGTCTTTGATAACTTCTGAGGGAGACCTGCTGAGCAACTCAGATGAGATCCAGGAGACAGTAGGTGAGCGAGAAACTAAATGAGGTATCTGATAATGCAACATGCACATAATATCTGAGGGTGAAAACAATCTTCCTGAGTTGCTTATTCACACATGTCACTCCCAATGTGAAGTTTTCTCTTCTGGACAGTAGAGTGGGGGGTTCTCAGGAGGCAAGACATGACGTTAAAAAAAAAGATGATGCAGAAATCCAAGACTGCATATGAAGCAACTGAGTCCCACACTATAATGACAGTTTGTTCCCCTGTATATCAATGCTTCATGTAATTGAACATATTCACAGTATCAAGAGAGGAGTAGAAAAGAACATACTCGAGTCGTGAGCAGAAAAGAGAAAGAAGCAGCTACATATCAATCAATCAATCAATCAAACTTTATTTATACAGCACCTTTCAGACAAATTAAATTGCAGTTCAAAGTGTTTTACAAGAGTGCAGAAAAGTTATTGATGAAAAAGTGGTTTATAAAATCATTGATAAAATCATTGAGAGACTAATGCACACCAATAAGAATAAAAAAATATGTATAAAAATAAAAAAATAAAATACAACACATAAAAGAAACAAGATATTAAAATTAATACATAGGAGAAGAATATTTAAAATTGTAGTAGGATAAAAAAGATAATGTTAAGATTTGAATTTATACAAAGCACTATATAAAAGTCAGACTTAATAAATGAGTTTTAAACGCAGTCTACATAACATCCATGACAACTGCCCTTGTTGCTCATTGTGATACATAAGTCATCACTCTTACCTGCTCAATTGCGTTGAATTTTCCTGACTTTAACCTGCTGCGTTCAAATATCGAAATATAACACAGCGGAAACGTTACTACTACTGACAGGAAAAAGTTTATAAAACTCAGGGTGAAACATTTTGGGGAAGTTGCTTTGAGTTTGTGCATGTGGGAAGAAACAAAATCAAATAAAGATGTTTAAATTCTGTCTAGTCAACCTTTCATTGACACTTTGTTGAAGGGATAAGAGTGTTAGTCTTTAGATATGCAGGTTTAGGGATGCCAAAGTTTGAAAGAACTCCTTTTGAAATTAAATATTTAAAAGAACGGCTCAAAGTTTATAAATCATGAAGCCCTGGAACATGTCAGTGTTGCAGTTTGATACTTGTTAGTAGGCAGGTTCATAAGCAAGCAGACTGTTTCTTGGTTTCTACCTTTCAAAAATGTTCAATATTTACTGATGTTTAAAAGTTATCAGAGTTAAAAAAAAAGAAATAGCTTTTGGAGTCAAATTTTTATTTCCATTGGCTCACTCTGAAAAAATCTTTTACTCTGAAGCTTTGCTCATATAATTGTCTTGTCACTCGCTTTATCAAACTCACTTATGTCATATATGCTTTGCTTTTTTTTTTTTAATAATGGGCCCAAGACAATGAGAAATCAAAGCCCTTCTAAAAATGACGTGATGTTTTTCCATTCATTGCAGATGACATCGTTGAGCGCTATGACAACGTGTCTAAGTCTGTAAGTGACCGCAACGAGAAACTGCAGATCACCCTGACTCGCTCCATGAGTGTCCAGGACGGTTTGGACGAGATGATCGGATGGATGGAGGGAGTGGAGGCCAGTGTGAAGGAGACAGGAACAATTCCTCTGGACTCTGCATCCCTAGGAGACATCCTCAGCAAAGAAGCAGTACGTATTCATTTATAGCAGTCCAATAACTATCAACTATGTCTATGATTTTAGTTTTTACATGGTTTATTTTTAGCTCCATAATAAGCTTTAATTTCACTTCATAAAGATGTTTAAGTTGCTGTTGTCCATCCTTGTTTTTTTAAGGCCTTAGAGCAGGACATAGCAAGTCGACAGAGCAGCGTCTCAACCATGAAAGCCAAAGTGAAGAAGTTTGTGGAGACGGCAGATCCCTCCGCTGCCGCCCTCCTGCAGTCTAAGATGGACGCTCTCTCCCAGCGCTTCACGGACGCCTGTGACAAGCACAAGCAGAAAGTCACGCAGATCGAGGAGCTGAAGGAAAAGGTGGACCAGTTTGAGGAGGTCGCAGATAAAGTGCAGCAGTTTGTTGTGAAGCGTACACAAGCTCTGAACGAGACGGACGGGCCGGGGAAAACCTTTGATGAAGTGTCTCAGCTCATGCAGGTAACAACACTGCTGACGCTTGGTTATGATCCTTCATGGATAAATTTGATGTCTGTCAGCGTTAATTGTTATCAAAATAACTAATCTATCGATATGCATTTACTCTAGAACACCAAAGCTGAGATGGCAGAGCATGCCAGTGATTTGGAGAAGCTGCAGACGCTCTCCAAGGAGCTTTCTGAAATCAGCTCTGATGGCAACAAATCCCAGATCCAGAACAGGATGGACAATCTCTCAAATACTTTCAACACTTTCAAAGACACTGTCAAAGAAAAGTAAGTTTGGACAAGAGAATAAGAAGGTCTTGTATTCCCCATTTAAAGTATTAATTATAGCCTGTTATTACTGTTTGTGTAGTGTTAGTAATGCACACATGGATGAACTGTATAACTGCTCCTTGTTCCAGGGAAGAGGAGGTATCGTCCTGTCAGGACCAGCTTGGAGAGTTCAGATCTGCTGCTGGCGCTCTCACAAAGTGGCTGGAGGAGACCAATGAGAAAGTACCTGCGGTTCACGCGGGCGTCAGCGTGAAGACTCTGGAGAAGGACCTGCACATTGTAACTGTGAGTCATGAGATAAATAACACAGTCTACTGTAAACAGAGACATTGTTATTCCCTTAAATATTTTTATCTTGCTGCACTTTTAAGTGCTGGAACAGAAGTTATTGATGTCATACTTTGCATCGTGCTGAATCGTGGATTCTCTGTGTTTTAGGAATAGATAGATGTAAGTGTGTTTTAATAGATTTCAGTGCTATCCTCCCTTAACTCCCTACTGTCCAACCTGCTCTTCTCTGCCAACTCATGACGGGCACAGAGGGATGATTCGTTGAAAGACATGTGGGAGTGAAACACTATGTTGTCAAACAGAAAGACTTTTTTCTTTGCAAGATGTTACAGACAGGATCAGAGACGTAGACTCCTACTGGGCCTGCACAATGTCAGAAGAATAAGCTACGCGTGATAAAGAGTTGTCATAATACCAGGATATTAAGATAAGATATGATACTAATAAAATACGAACAATGTCTATATCTGTTTCGACACCACAGCAGAAAAAATAAAAGTCCTAGAGACCCAATATTTGGCCATTTTTTTGTTATTAATCATCAAAAATTACAAGCAAACTCCTGCACACTGTCTAAATTGCAGACATATGCTGCCAACATTTCAACACTTTTGGATACTATCAATCATTAAAAGTATGAAGATTATATAATTAACTATATGCGGTGCAATAAACCACATTTTAAAGAGAGAATATTAACTTACAGTTTCTATGTCTATCCACTGTTTTTCAAAGAAATCTGTTTTAAATATGTCCTACCAGAATCCAAAATAAATCATGAAAGAAGTCTTTCACCATTAAATTGGCACCAAATAATCTGAGAGTAGCTAAACGCTATTTGAGTTTTACTGTTAAAGAACGGTATTTTGACCCTGACCTCTATCCCAAAATACTGAAGTGTACACATGCTAATTTAAAAAAATGACATTGTTTATTTACATTAAATCATTTTTCTTATTAATTTATATAAATACCAACCATTGCAATGTGTTTGTCCTCTGCTAACAATGAAATCAGGATTAATTGTGTAGCTCTAATTCCTCCTACAATGTAAAGTGAAAACAAAAGAATAGGGCCAACTCCACAATTTTTCCACATTTATTCTAACATTACTATTTTAGACGATCTCCTTTTTCAGTGCTCTAAACATAAAAACGTATCTGTGTGATTGATGTATCATCAGGGATTATTGGATGAATGGACGTCCAAAGACCCTGCTGTCAAAGACCTGAACAGTAAAGGATCGGAGCTCTGCAGCCTTATTACCGTCCTCACATCCCCTGCCAAGACAAAGACCTCTAACAAGTCAGGTAAGCATCAGCAGACATAACCTCATGTGTTTAAACTACTCAGTGGAATAGGAAGCATGGTGTGTGGGTGGACTTCTAAGAGAGCTGTATGATCACTAACACTCAGACATCCAGTCTGCCTATCCTTCATACAAGCTTTGTGTTGTGTCTTTGCATCAGCTCTTACTAATGGTGGTGGTCCAGGAAGCCATTCCTACCTAACCAATAAAGGTAATCAAGTGTGTGTTGATGGTGTGCTGGAAATACATAGTCAGTGGTGTGATGTGATCTGTTGGTATTACGGCTGGTTTTTCCAAACTGTGCTATGGCTGTAGTGGCTCTTTACATCTTTACAACATCTTTAACAACATGTTCAGATAACGATAACTTGTAATTTTAACCTCATGTTTCACACTCTGGCTACAAACTCATACTTATAGAATTATGTTTGATGTCTTCAGAGCTGATGGTTATTCAGCAGAACATATCATATGTCAACGAGGGATACACGAGCCTCGGGGAAACGCTGCAGAGTCGAGCAGCAGAGCTGAGTAGTTCAGTGGAGGAGGTGAAAGATGCCCAAAAGGAGACAGAGGACATGATGACGTGGCTGAAGGACATGAAAAAGACCGCAGCCTCATGGAACAGTGCCCCAACAGAGAAGGATTCAGTGAAAACACAGCTTGAACAGCAGAAGGTACAGACGTGTAACAATTGAATTTGATCTGAAAGTGGTCACAGCTCCCTCATTACTGTGATCTGCTGTGAAGGAGAGTCCTATGACATATTGCAAGATACATTTACAAGAATGTTTTGTATTCCTTTAGGAATGTGAGGATGGCATGAAGCAAAAGCGGGAGCAGCTCCAGAAGCTCAGAGAGAAGCTCCTCAACTTGATTAAGACTCACCCAAACTCCCCCGAGGCAGCCAAATGGAAGCAGATGCTTGCAGAAATAGGTATGATCCGAGGGGCTGTCTCCAGATGGCCCATGTAATTTATGTCACTGAAACTGTATGTAAGGTGTAAATCACACCAATAGAAATGTATCTCGTTGCAGCGCTGACCTTCCCTTAAAAGCTTTCTCAAAATGTCCTCTATGAGACACTAAGTGTGATACTGTACTAGCACCTACTGCCCTCTGCCACCCCATTTAAATTAACACATAAGTAGTGCCAAGTCCTGCACAGTGGGCGCATGGCTAAAGGAGAACAGTTGGACAGTGGATTGAAAGGTGCTGTTTTGCTGACTCAAGTGCACCGTTGTGATTGCTCTGCCCCCCACCTGTTCAGATGCTGCTTGGGCAGATATCAGCGGCTCCGTAGAGGAGAGGAAGCAGCACCTGGAGCAGTCCAACAAGAACCTGGACGTCTTCCAAACAACTGAGCTGCAGCTTGGTCAGTGGCTTTCAGAAAAGGAGATGATGATGAGTGTCCTTGGACCCCTCTCGATAGACCCCAACATGCTAAAGATGCAGAAGCAACAGGTTCAGGTAAGCATGGTGCATGTTGTCAGGCATAAGTGTATGCTTGTACATCATTAAAGAAGGAGCATTCAGTTGCACCAGCTATATGTAAGTTCAAACGTAGCCTAGCTTGAACTTAATTTTTACTGTAGGACATGGTTTTTTACACTACTTACTTTGAAGGTAACATTTAAGGTGTTGCACCAGGGGAGATGTCCTCATTGAAATATAGTTGTCATGGTGTATTATTTTGAAAGGTTGGATAACATGGAGGGATGATGAGGAGGAAAGGGTTTAATAGATTACTGTCAGAGATAATAGAGTACCCTAAGTTTATTTGGTGCTATGACCACTCAAAGTTACAGTTTGTTTTGCACTAGCTGTAGATCAAAGTTGTAGGCTTTAGTTATCACCAAATGACTTAATGCTATGTCATATTTTACAAACTCTTTCTCTGCTGTTAATGGATAAACAGCAGTTAACTGATGTTTGTTCAGAGACAATTAGGCACGAAAGGAAACAGTGTAACAAACACCGCTTTCAGAAAAATGATTTTCATGAGAAGAAAATGCTGTTTCTGTTGGTTGTTACGCTCGTCTAGTTAAGATGAACCTTACGTCCATGTGGTGCAGCCAAACAATGAAGCTACTTAGGTTACACACTAACCACTTTACAAGTATGGTTTAGTGTGGACTTTGCACCCCAATTTGAAACAGAACTTATACATAGCTGGTGCAATAGGCCAAAGTACTTTTGTTGCCTTCTTGAAGGAATATTCATATTGACTGACTTTCGCTCCAGATCCTCCAGAACGAGTTTAAGAGCCGCCAACCTCAATATGAGCGACTCCAGGAAACTGCTACAGCCATCCTGAGCTCATCAGCCAACCAGGACCCCTCAAGTGGGAATCTGGTGAAGGAGCAGCTCGCTAATGTCTCCCAGAAATGGCAAGGCCTCACGGGACAGCTGGACCAGAGAGACGGCCTGATCGACCAGGCCGTGGTGAAGACGGGGCAGTTCCAGGAGTTACTGAGGAGCATCAGTCAAACGGCCACTCAGTTGGAGAATCAGCTCACCAATTGTCAGGGCAACAGCACCCAGCCTGACGCTGTGAAGAAGCAGTTAGAGGACGTCCAAAACATCTCTTCTCAACTGAGAGAGGAGAGAAAGAAGCTGAAGGAGGCCGAGGCAGTCAACGCAGAGCTCACAGCGATGGTGACTGAGGACTATCTCAAAGCAGACTTAGCCAGGCAGCTGGAGAGTGTCAGCAAACCTTTCAAACAGCTGGAAGAGAAAGCAGGTTCGGCTTTTAACCTAACCTAATAATAAAGTGTTGTAATGTTTGGAAGGAAAGAACAATGAGTCAGAGTTAAATATATATTTGTCCTATGACAACAAGAAGACTAAAGTATATTAATCAAAATCCCTCTGGCAGAGTATTCAAACAGTCTAGTCAAAGCTCTACTTTTTAGAAGATATTGTATTACAACCTTTTCTTTTATGTTTGTCATGTGGTGTTGCTGCTTTAGTTATATAAGAAATGTGAATGAAAGTAATCTACAACAGTACTCCTACCTGTTAGGCTTTAATCTCGCTTTAACATGATTTTTTTTTTTTCTGTTGCAGCAAAACGGGTCGAGCAGCTCAACTCAACCTTTGCCAGCTCTCAGCAGTTCCACCAGACCTCCAAAGACTTCCACTCGTGGCTGGACCAGAAGCTTCAGGATCAGTCCAAGCCCCAGTCCATCTCTTCTAAAGCAGATGTTCTGCAAAATACCCTGGAGGAGCACAACAGTTTCAAGAAGGCTCTCGGTGAACACGAGGGAGCTTATTCCACCATCATTGGGGAAGGGGAAATGCTTCTGAAGAACACCGAGGGTGCAGAGAAGTTGGCACTTCAAGGGCAGCTTTCTACGCTCTCTTCTAACTGGGAGGAGGTGAAGAAGAACTCTGCGGAACAGGCCGACAAACTCCAGACGGCCCTGCAGAGGTCTCTGAAGTTTCAGGAGCATGCAGAGAAGCTCGGCTCTTGGATTCAAGAGTGTGAAGCTAGTGAGGGCAAAGTGAAGCTCAACGTTGATCCTGTGGCCGTGGAGAGCTCCATCTCTCAGGTGAAAGCTCTGCTGAAAGATGTAGACAAGCACAGAGGGATGGTGGAGCAGCTCAACACAGCTGCAGATACCCTTCTTGAGGTTGCCAACACAGACACTGACGCTGTCAAAGAGGAGAAGGCCAGCATTAACAAAAGAGTGGACAATGTTGCAGAAGGTCTACAGAGCAAAAGGGAGTCCCTTGAGAAGCTCTCACATACTGTTAAGGAATTTAATGACGCTTATAAAGAGGCGAAGGGTCAGCTCGAGGGGGCAAAGAAGCAGGTGGATGCTTATGAATCACAGGGAATGCAGGCGCACAGCAACAAGAACCTGACCAACATGAAAGCCCAACAGAAAAGTTTAGAAGGAGTGCAGAACCAGTTGGAGCACCTGAAGAGCTTGGCCAAAGACCTAGTGGTAGAGATCCCAGATGCCGATGGAGTGACAGACCTCTTACTGCAAGCAGACAGCGTGGAAAAAGACTACAGCACCCTTAACAAGAAACTAGAGGAGACGTGTCAAGTCCTGGAGGGTAAACTACAGGGAATCGGCCAGTTCCAGAACAGCATCCGCGAGATGTTCACCCGCTTCACAGACCTGGACGATGAGCTGGATAGCATGGCTCCGGTGGATCTCGACTTGGCTACTCTGAAAGAGCAGCAGGAGAGCATTCAGAGCTTCGTGGCTAAGCTGCAAGAGCTAATGGCCAACACAGCCAATGCTGGAGACAGCTGTAAGAAAATGCTAGAGAGTGAAAGCTCTCCTGACCTGCTGGGCCTGAAGAGAGACCTGGACGCTCTGAGTAAGCAGTGTGGTAAACTGCTGGACCGGGCCAAAGGCAGAGAGGTGCAGGTGCAGAGTACTCTCACCAAACTGGAGGAGTTGTATGATAAACTCCACGTATCAGAAGATAAACTAAGTAAGGCTGTCGACAAGGAGGCGTCCCAGGAGGCGGTTGGCATGGAAACAGACGTCATCAACCAACAGCTGGAGGCCTTTAAGGTACAGTGCAAATTCAATACTTTTTTTAAATGCAAGAACAGAGAATTGATTTCAATTCAAGTGGTTAAATAAAAGGTAAATAAAAGTCTGACTTTCCTGGTAGTGTAGTGAACCATCGATTAAACCCAAATAATTCAGATTCTACATTTCTTAGCCTTATTTATTGTCTGTAGACTTTAGACTTCATTGTTGCCTTCATGTTGACCAGTGATGGGTATAATGTTAAGACAAGTTAAAAAAGCAGGGAGTGTTTGATTTCTTTTTTACTTTTTACTTGCCTTAACATAAAAAACAGGTATCAAAGTATATGTTGAATAATTTTTCATAGAGGCAATTATTGACATAATGTTTCAGCCTATATAGTTATAAAACAATTAATAGCTATACGACAATAATATGGAAAGATTTATAATTTCTAAAAAACGAACACATTCACTTTTTGTATTTAGGATTAGAAAAGATAATTTGGGGGTTATTCTGGTTTGGAACTTATTTTCAGACCACTTCTATGAAGCAAAACAAAAGTATTACTTTTGATACTTTGATCTTACATTTTTTTCTGAAAAAGCAACATTTTAAAGATCACATATTATGCAAAATACACTTTACCATTTTCCTAACACTTATATGTGTCCATAGTCTGTCTACAAACTCCCCAATTATATAACAAAATAAGTCCATCCTCTCCATCTTATGACTACTCCACTTTTCAAAAAATTTGTGATCAAACAGGCCGATTGGAGATTTTCCCTTCATGACATCACAAAGTGCAGTAACCCCTCCCCCAGGTGGGTGACACTCCCACAGCTAAGTGTTTGTTCTGCCCTCTGAGTCTGCCTTCTCACCGTAAACAATAGGACATGGAGCGAGAAAGCCCGAGCCATCCAAGCTCTTCCAGATAGGGGGCATGGTCAGACACAGCTCATTTACATATTTAAAGCTACAGACACAGAAACAGCCTGTTCTGAGCAGGGCTGAAATAGAGGGGTTTATAGGCATGATCAAATACAGGATCAGAGTGGATTTACAACAAGAAACTTCACAAGCATGTTTTGGTGAGGTCTTATTGAAACTTGTTAAAAAGGAAGACAATATGTGACCTTTAACTAATCTAATACATTTTGTTTATAAGAAGCACAACATGCAAAACTGTAATTAAGGTAGGCATTCAGTTTTTAAAGCATCAAAGTCAAACAATCCTTATCTTGATAAAAGACCAGTGAGACATATGTCCTCTTAAGTATTCAAACTGGCAGTTACTGATAAATGTTTTTTTTAAATAACTATTTTATAGATTAAACTAGCCTGAAGTTAAATTGGCCCCTTGATTTTGCATATTATTTCAAAATATTGACATTCTTGTCATTACATGAATAACAATTAGTCATTTAAATTCCGCCTTGCATTGTGGGAGATTACCATCCTGCTCTTCACTGCTCCACACACAGCAATCCTCCAGGGACTGCTGCTCTATTGAGGGCATCTGGTGTTAACAAAGAGCTCCAGCCCATATGCAGTGATGGTGCGGGAGGGATGAACCATCGCAGCCAGGTGGTCACCAGCAGGGTGTCACTTGATTCAATGGTCTCAATAATGAAGCCAGGCCAAAGTCCTGATCTCTTAACATTGATAGTGTTGTTCTTTAACATTTGAAAGCTCAATGCCTGACGTTATCTCTGGCTCTAAGCTTGGAGTGGCCTGATATTTATTCAGTCAATTCAATGCAGACACCAGAAGGGGAAGTGATGGGCAGCGTCATTATAGTTTCCTTAAACCCAGTTTGTTTTATTTTGCACTTGGCTTGGTTGTCATTAATACTGATAGTGATGAGTACGTCTGGGTAATGTGGTTTGATAAGGGCTCAAAAGTTAAATTCAATTCCCATTTATTGGTCACATATGCAATTATACATAGCACACTGAGAAATGAAATGTTTTTGGTACCTGTCTAGCCAAGAATGACACACATTATATGAATAAAATACATTTAAAATACAGGAAAATAAACTATCTAGAGCATGAGAAAGTTATTTTTTTACTTTAAAATAATGGGTACCTCCCCAGCCAAGAGATATTCAGCACACAACATGAAAAACATTTTTTTTTTTAAATACTCTTTATTCATTTCAATCCATGAAAAACATTTTAAATACAAAAAGAAAACCCTCAAGAGTCCAGTAAACATAAAATGTTTTTTTTAAATACAATATAGAATAAAGTGTAAAAATGAATAAATTATATGTTGTACATTGGTATAAATGAAGTATTAATTCGATGATAAAGACCACCTACATGTGATGTGCAACAAACAGTACAGCTGTGCGCTCAAATGTTGTAAACACACTGCAATGTTTGGCTGACTATTTCATTCAGTCACTGGGATTAAAGGACAGTTAATAAAGCTAAACGATGCCTGATAATTGGTATGAAGAATCTGCTTTGTAATTCTGTGTCTCTGAAAATATTTACTTATGAAACCTTAGCTTTACTTGTGTTTTTAAAATTGTATTACTGATGCAGAGGAGCCCAAACACACACAGCTTCTCTATTGTCTTTATAATCTGTTTTAAGCATGTTACTCTTAAAATCATGGACGCCTTTGTTGGTGTCAATGAGGGATAAATCAAGAGGCAGCCATTAGCAAGATTTACAGACAGCTGCAAAATATTTTAAAAGCCTGTAAATTCCTGTGGAGGTTTCCAAAAGAGGATTAACCTATATTCAGAGGTGAAATTAGGAAATACTTGGAGCATAATGTATACAGCCGTGCATAGGCAAATCACACAGATCTGGCCTAAGATGTAGGTCAGAGGATTTTTTTTTTTCAATTAAGGGGGTGCGTAGGAGGGTTGCACAAACCTCCACTTGTGTTACATGGATTAAAATATCATTGGGGTGTCTGAGGTGGGGGTTGGGGGTGTCGGTTTGGTTTGGTTTTTAAAGGCCTCGCAGGGTAACTATTAAAGAAAGTGATTGATTCAGATTGTTGCTGGGCAGCGTTGTCATGGTGCATGTTTCTTTACCCCCTCTTTGTCCTGTGGCTGTCCCGGGTTGAGAGGGCGCACACAGCCTCAGCTGCTGGTGGAAACTCCCCTCTGTAGCCTCAGGAGGAGATGTATCAAAAAACAGCAAAGTGATGATTGAAACTTGAGTTGTTTCTTTGTTCAATTGAAGTTTTAAAAAAGTCATATGATTCTATCAAATTTAGTTTTATCCATGTGATCTGGTGCTTTAGGTTAAGTGGGCTTCGCTGGCAGCCGGTGGGAGAAAGTAATAAACAGAGAAAGACAGCGCTCGTCTCTTTCATGTGCTGTTACCATTTTAGGTTAAGTTTTGAAAGAGACACGCCTGACTTCATGTGTTTACTCTCGTTTTTCACATGAGAGTTGTAGGAGCTGGACTGAGGGGAAACTGGTGTATGTAAATGTCCATGTGCACCTTAAAGGGGGGTTTTAGTGACTCAACACTCCTGGGGGGGGGGGGGGGGTTGGCGTGGGTGTCTATTCTCTCCTTACAGACATTACATCATCAGTGTCTCTTGCAGTTCAGAAATGAATCACACTGTAGCTAACCTGGCTCATTGACGTTGATGAGGGAAAAAGTGTCATTGTGGCCACACAGTGTTTCTTACTCACTGCCACATAGCAATGATACACTCCTCTTAGAGTGTAACATGTAACTCCTCTGGGTCACATCAGGAAGGGTACACTTTTTTCTGTTTTTGGCTGAAGGTTTAATTTTTATGCAATGTTTTTCAAGATTTCTAGAAGCTTAGAAATATTGTATTTCTTACAATGCAGACCATTATGTGAAGCTTTAAAACAGGCCCTTTACTGAAACTTTACTGTTATAAGACAAGTTAAAAAAACAAACACTTAACTCCTGCAACACATGAAAACCTTCTTAAAAGCAGTTGAATGTACAGTAACAGCCTCCGGTCTTGAAAAATGAAGCCGTTGCGGAAGTGAAAATTCCTGCAGTTCGACGAGTGTCCACTTGAGGCTGACTCCAGGAACACCGGAAGTCACATACACACAACAGGAGAAAAAGCTGTTTTTACAGCATACATTAACATGTTTACAGCCTGGTATATAAAAACAAAACAGGTCTGATTAGTTATTGTCATCACTCGCACACACTGTATGGGGGCAGATTTTTTTTCAAACGGCTCCGTTTTGATTTTATGAACAATACATATTATCTATAGTTAAGCGCGTAGCTACATGATTGACAGGTGGTGGTGATGTAACAGTTCATCATGAGGTTTAAAACCAGCCTCAGCTCCAGCTCTCCGCCTGTCGTTAGGTTGACTTAAAGTTAGGATGAGACAGGATTTCCAACATGGCGGCTGCTGATGATGAGCCTCCAGAGCCCCCTGCAGGAACAGATGGCTGACGTCACTCAGGCTTCAAACATTCATATTTACAGTCTATGTCTCTTCATACTGTAGTATATTACAACACTGTAGCGTGCTTGGTTTGCTATGTAGCAACTGAACCGGATCTCTTAAAGCTCCTGTCAGGATTTTTTTATTTTTTTTGCGTCTCATCTCTTCACTGATCTCGTCCTGTACATTTTTAATCACTGTCTCCTGATGATAGATCTCCTCCTGCTGTCTTTAAGGAGTCGATCGTATCACTCATTGTGAATCTTTGCTTTGGAAAATGTAACTGACTTTGTCTTCCAGGCGGCAGTGATTACAGCCATTACAACAACTGTTTAGAAATGATCAATCTTGTCTTTGATAATCAGTATTCATTTCACTGTTGCATAACCAACTGAAAACTCCACGCAGGAGCTTCAAACAGTAACGAACATTAATCCATTTGTGCCGTCATGCAAACACTTTTAATGCAGAATTCAGAAAGCTGACCTCCAAATGTATTTATCTGGTCAAATTTACATCTTGAACAAACATTAAGAACAACAGCAGAAGATCTTATTTAAAGATGACTATATTTCTAACTGGTGAGATTTGATCATGCTTAGTGATTACCTATAGAGAGTCCATGTTCTTCCCCCGTCCGACTAAAGATTGGTTCATAGTTGCGGCTGCACTGTTTAGAAACTCCTCTGTACCTGATTGTTTGGAGAGGCTGACAAGTGTTGAACTTGTAAGGGTTATTTTTAGTCCTTGGATTGGAAAAAAAGTGTCCTCTTTTCACCCTTTAACTTTTGGTCTGAATGGTAGAGTTAACACTTTATTTAAGTCAAATGGGGCTTTGGAGAGAAAGGGACCTGCAGCAGCCACTGAATCACAAGAGGAATCATTTGTTTTAATTCATTCAAGCACCTGAATATTTATAAAGCATACAAGACTCAGTGGCTTATAATCCTTTATGTGACTCCCACCATGTCTTGAATGCTTATTTATCTCTGCCAACATCCTCTTTCCGTCTCCTCTTGTGCATACAAGAAGTTGTGATTGTTGAGCTCCTCACCAAGCTACTGGGGTGAAGACTTTCCAGGAAACATAAAAATAAATTCCTTTCATTATCCTCTCTATCCTCTTTTTCTTGTCCTATACCCCGGTCACTGGACATAAAAAGCGCCTTCATGCACTTGGCAGAGCTGTTGGTGTTAAATTACCTGGGACCTGTGCCTCCCTCAGCATTCCTCAGTAATTAAGAATATCTGCAGGGTCCACAGCAACCCGTCCGCGAGAGGAAAACAGAGGGCAGGGAGAGGGAAAAAAAGGGAAAAAACGTGTATCTATTTCAGCATAGTGTAATGTCATCAAAGTGGGAGCTGCTGCTGCCTGTTGGTCTAAGTTTTTTATGTGAAGTAGAAAAGGCTGGTGCGTATCTTTTCCCCCTCCCTGTCCCTTTAGTCACTCGAAAAAAAAAAGAAGAAAGAGGAAAAGTCAGTGGTTATGTCAGGATGCAGAAGACGGCTTAGAAGTGAAGTCATATGGGCCATGCTGACATAAGGGGGAATTAGAAAAGGGGGGGGAGGGTCATGTGTCCACCAATCAACATGTGACGGAGCGGCTCTGAGCACAAATGGAGTTGTGGCAGATGTTGTCTGAATAATGAGCGGGGGCGGGGCATGAAGCCCTCTGCCAGGAGGGTGTCTGTCATTGCGAGGGAGCGATGAGAGAGAAAGGGCAGGCTTTTTTTTTTTGTTTATCCACGAGTACCAGCTCTCCTCAGAACTGCCCCACAGTTTTTTGCTTTGAGCCTGCTGGATTTGTCTGTGGATATTATCACTTTTTGCACTGAAGATTTTGTACTTTTTATCGTGGGGATGCTGTAAAGGATTTCAGGGAGAAAGAAGCACTTTGGACCACAGAAATACTGATTAAGTTTTGGCAATGCACTGAGAGGCGCCCCGAGGAATATTTTTGGGTGGCTGTATTTAAAGAGTGGATTATCATTCCTGCTGTGGAGCATAAAGCTGCAAGAGGACCGAGCGTGGTTTGGGATTGTTTTTATATTGTTGCCATGTTTGTATTTTTGGAGACTTTTATTATTTTTTTTATCTAGATCAACTTTATTTTGTTAATATTATTTTTAAAGAAGCACCTTCAGATTTATTTTTGAAACCTAAGTAGGAGGATTTTGTATTTATTTGTCACCGTCTTTCCTTTTAAGAAATATAATTTCAAACAGTTACTTTTCATCCTGTGCTCCTTTTTTTAAATGACCTGCACTAAAGCAACAATTACCTCAGAGGGGTTCCCTACATCCCAAGTCTTTCCTTTGTAGTGAGCAGTGTCAATTGTTTTTAGCATGGGGAAGCCGCTGAGCAGACCAGATTGCCTCAGACAAAACCCATCCTGTGTGGGGAAGGGGGAGGAGGAGGACCTGAACATCGACGACTGCTATGTGCCCCAGAGATCCATTTATGACACCGTGCGGCTCAATGAGCAGATAGACTCGGGCTCTAAAGGCAGCCTTTCCTCTCGCCACTTCACGGGCACCTTACCTTACACTCACCGCACATTAGACCTCAGCAACCTGTGTGGGAATGGAGCCCTCTCTGCCTCCAACTCCTTCGAGCTCCGAACCCGTAAGCCCGCTTTACTGGACGAGCGTGTCGTCTTCGATGGACTCAAACTCAACGGGCACATAATAAGGCCGAATGACACAGTGCTGCCAAAGTCCCGTCTCCAAGGAGGAGAGAAGAAGGATCATCCTCATCACCGACGCTCGTGGAGGACGTTTGCTCCCACTAATTTGAGCGAGTACGCGAGCCGCAGCGGAACGTTGTGCTCAGGGAGTGCTGAAAGACCCGGGTTGATCAATGGCAAGCGAGGGCAGAGCATGACCAGCTCTCTGACATCCGAAGAGGACTCTGGACTTTACAGCCCCACCGTGGACAGAGAGCGACATGCACACAGATCCCGCAAAAGAGCAGGACCCGGCACAAGGAGCCTCTCATCTTCAGAGGCGATGCACATGTCCGGGGACCTGAGAACTGGGCGGTCACTTAGCTCAGGACAAGAGGAGTTCCCTTTCTCTCCTGCGCGGGACAACCGATCTCTGTATCACAGCAGCAGCTTGGTCCAGGAGCCACTAAAATCTGAATCTGGTGTGGTGGATGTAAATGGAAAACACACTCTCAGCAATGGAGAATACAAACACTCCACAGGGAGGTTATCTTCCAGGAGTCATAACGAAAGCTTAGGTTGGCGCTCCAGGACTTTGACGGACTACGACGAGCTGTCGACAGCTGAGCTGTTAGAGGATGTGTCATACAAGGACGACTGTGAGCTGGTCAGTGTGGTGGTGACGCAGCCTGAGACATGTGGAAACTCTGTAACTTTACCCATAGACAGCCGGCAGCCAACTCAGCCATGTACTGAGAAGCAAGGAGCGTCCAAATACAACATGGAGGAGCTTGAAGAGTTTCTTCAAACTGTGGAGGCCTGCCTGCCAAAAAGCTTACACACGTTCGAGCACCCAGAGGAGCATGAGATCGAGGCCTTACTGAGTGCCATCGCTGCATGTCCTGAAATGGACCTCAAGGGTTATTTCTCCCCACAGGTGCCCAAAAACATCCTCCTCCTTTATTCCCGATGTTCCCTCATTAATCGCTCCGGTGAATGTTTCAATAGATGAGGCGTCTCTTTGATGAGTCATTCCCAGCTGTTTGGTTGTTTCTTTTCTTACACAGCTTATTACATGATGAGTAAAATAAGGTTTCACTCAGTGGTTAGTACTAGAACTCTGTAGGCGTGATAGTTCACAACTGAGATCAAACTCTGCTTTTCTAGAAACCGATGACTGGTAAAAAAGTATTTTTTATGTCAGCTGGATTTTTTTACACTAAACCTCAGGTGTTGTGGTCACAGTCATTGCTGCTGATTCAGGATGACTTTCTGGCATCATTCAATACTTTTCCTTTTGTGCAATCAGGATCTAAATCCAAATATAATGTTGCCTTACTAAAAAAAATGAAGTTTTATTTTGTGGCTTTTTTATGCCTCTATTTTAGAGATTGGACAGTGGATAGAGTCAGATTTCTGGGAGAGAGAGAGAGTGGGGAAAAACATAAGGGAAAGGAGCCACAGGTCGGATTTGAACCCCAACCACCAGCTTGGAGGACTAAGCCTCCGTACATGGTGTGGGCGCACTAAACACTAGGCTACCGGCGCCCCATAATGTTGCCTTACTGATATGATTTGGAAAATAGATTAATTGGAAACTCTGAAAGAAAAGGTTTTTTTTTTTAAGACAGAGTTGAGGAAGGAATATCATTTTAAAAATAGAAACCAAATGCTTTAATAGCTTTCAATATGAATGAATGATGAAAGATTCCATCGTTGAATTCTCACTTCTAAACAATTGAAACAACAAGTAATCCTGAATATACTGTAATTGTAGCAGTCATATAATCGTTCTACTGTGTTTTGTTTGATTTCTCTTTAGGATTTCCAGAAAGCAGACATTGACCCATTGCACACACAGCTTCAAGACATCAACTCCCTCGGCCAGGGTCTGATCCAAACTGCTGCCAAGGGCACCAGCACCAAGAAGCTTGAGGATGACCTGGAGGAAGTCAACACAAAGTGGAATACCCTCAACAAAAAGGTGGGTTTAATTCTGCCAGTCTCACTTGTTGATCTTTGCTTGTGAATAATGTTCCAAAATGGAAAAAAAAAAGATGTTGGCATAGTAATGAGTCATTCATTCTCACTATTTGTTATAGTGTTATCCTTTTGATGAATTACTGGGCGCAGTTTGGGTTGGCCCCTGAAGCAGGTGACTTCAATATTTACCATGTGGTTTGCAGATTGCTGAGCGTTCAGCCCAGCTGCACGAAGCCCTGCTGCGCTGTGGGAGGTTCCAGGATGCTTTGGAGTCACTGCTCAGCTGGTTGACCGACACAGAGGAGCTGGTGGCCAATCAGAAACCTCCGTCTGCAGAGTTCAAAGTCGTCAAAGCGCAGATCCAAGAGCAGAAAGTAAGCTGGTCACGTGGTCAACACAAACACTCAAAAGCACACCAGCGGTTCTGTTTTAATCTTTCCGCTTTAACACCACACAGTGTTATGACTTTGCCATTCATCTTGTTTAACTGACATCTATTGTTAAAGTTGAGTACACTACAAAAGCCTTAAGTTTATTGGACGCTTAATTTGTGCCTGTTAGATTTACTGTTTTTCACCACCTAGCAATGCCCTCGGTGAGAGCATGTTTAAGGCACCCAATAACTCTCCCCCTTTTGTTTGGCTTTGACAGCTCTTACAGAGACTGCTGGATGACCGAAAGCCAACAGTGGAGCTGATAAAGAAAGAGGGAGGCAAGGTTGCAGAACTGGCCGAGTCTGTGGATAAGGAGAAGGTTGCAAAAGAGATCGAATGCCTCGGGCAGAGGTGGGACAGTCTGCTGAAGAAGGCTGAAAACAGGTCTGTATAAACAAGTGTCATATTATACAAGCCTCTTAATGCAATACTTCACAATTAAAGTTGGAGATAAAGAGGCTCGCCAGATACCTTTACCGTGACCTTTTACCTACTTTTTGATCAGAAAGTCAGAACCCCTATATTCTTCACTTAAAGGAATATAACAGAAAAAGCACATAAGCACAGATGAGACTATGAATACCACTCTCTATGTTTCTGTTGTAAATAAGAGGCCAGTGAGCAGTTATATTAGGGAGACTGGGAACTGTCTTTGTTTCTGTTTCCAGTCTCTGTGCTAATCTAAGCTAACTTGCCTCAGGCAGTATTTGCATGTGGACTGTACAGACGGAAGAGAAATATCAATCTGCTAATGTCACTCTCCGCTAAAAGCATTTAAAGCCTTTTTCAAGAAATGTGAAGTCATATTTTTGAAATTACAAGTTGAATGTTCAAATCTGTTTGAAGTTTAAAATTGACACACTCATTCATTTGCTTATCTCATTAAACTCAAATTACGCCGGATCAAATTCATGACTGGGCTGTGAAACATTATTTAAGTTTTGCTTTCTGTCTAAATAACACATATTGCTAATGTGCAAAATAAATCTGCCTGTCTCTCTGTGAATTGCATTACTGTGTTCCTAATTATGTTCTGCTCAATTGTCTCAGGCACAAGCAACTGGAGAGCATCTTGGTGGTCACTCAGCAGTTCCATGAGACCCTGGAGCCACTGAGCGAGTGGCTCGCAGCTACAGAGAAACAGCTGGCTAACTCTGAGCCCATCGGCACTGAGACGTCGAAACTGGAAGATCAGATCTCTCAGCATAAGGTAAAATCCAGAATCTCACATCGTCAGTACTTCTTTTTTCGACCCATTTGAATTCAGTTTCATTATTTCCGCTTGTTATTTTTAGTTTGTTCTCCTCATTATTTCCCATTATGTTTTCATATTTTTGTTTTATTTGTTTGTGTTTCCGTTTGTGTCATGTGTCCTTGGTTCGTTTCCCATCGCCCCCCCCCTCGGTCAGGCCTTAGAGGAGGAGATAATGAAACACAGTAAAGACCTGTTTCAGGCCGTCAGTCTGGGTCAGATGCTCAAAACTGTGAGCTCAGTGGACGATAAGGAGTTTGTTCAGTCCAAACTGGACAGCACCCAGGCCAGTTACATAGAGCTCCAGGAGCGATGCAGGAGGAAAGGCGAGATGCTGCAGCAGGCTCTGGCTAACGCCCAGCTGTTTGGAGAGGACGAGGTGGACCTCATGAACTGGCTCAACGAGGTCCACGTGAAGCTGAGCGAGGTGTCTGTGGAGGACTACAAAATAAGTGTTCTTGAAAAGCAGCTGGCAGAACAACGGGTACACACTCCTCCTCCTCCTCCTCAGGCCAAGCATTATGTTGTCATTTCATTTAAGTTTCATCCATCATGTTTCAGTTGATTATAGTTATTTGTGTGTCCTGCATTGTTTTCAGCGAGAAGTTTTTTTTCCCTCCATCTTGATGACTTTCTAAGGTTATACTTTCCTTCCAGGCACTACAAAGTGATATTGAGTTGAGAAAGAACAATGTTGACCAGGCCATCTCTAACGGGATGGAGCTTCTGAAACAATCAACAGGCATGTCTGACTTTATCTTTTCTTTTCTGATCACAGGTCATTCAGTAAAATCCAAGCAAAAAGTTCTTCCTCTATAATAAGCTCTACTGCCTTTTTAAAAGTTTGTCAAAGTTGTTAATGACCAAATTATTACGTAGTTAGTTATAGAATTTGTTTAGGCAGTTCATTTTTTTTGCTGCTAAGAATTCAGCTTAAAGATATCCCCTCAAGTTATGTCATCACTCTGAAGAGCAGACAGGCATCCATAGACTGTATGAAACATGGATGTAGTCTCAGTGAAGTCACCCATTGGTTTCTAAAGAGGCTTTATGAAGTCAACGCTGTCAGGCGCCATGTTGGAAATGCTGACTTCATCCTACTTTTTAAGCAATCTAGAAACAAGCAAAGATATAAAACTGATGCTAGCTTTAGCCTCCTGGCAAAAAGCTACAACATTCCCACCTGTCAGTCAAATCAAGCATGCCCATAATTGTGCCAATTTATGCATAACGCTTTCTATAATTATAATCAAAACAGAGGAGTTAAAACAAACACATTTTAACCCCAGTACAGTATCTATGGGTAAAGAAATTAACTGTAGCCCAAAATATTTTTTGTACCAGGCTGTATATTTCTATTGTTTAAAAAAAAGGGGCCTAATGGGAATTCCTTTGCAATTGTAGTCAGCCTCAAGTGGAAACTCAAGAAACTGCGTTTTATTTTTCATTTTTACATTGACTATAATCTTTAACATCCAAGGCTGCAACTCGGAAAGACCTTGCATAGTCAGATCTATAACCCTGTAGACCCGATGTTTCTGTGGAACTGATAAATGTTTCCTCCAACACTATTTCCCGCCATGACATCATTCACATGAACCTTTTTTCAGCTGCATCTCTATAATGCAGTAGAAATGCAAAACACCTTAATGACAATTAACTTTCTCTATACAGGTGATGAAGTTGTTGTAATTCAAGGAAAACTGGACGGAATCAAAACAAAGTATGCTGAGATCAACTCTGTGAGTGATAATGTTTTGAAGAAGCTGGAGAAGGTTCTGAACCTCTCCTCAAAGCTGCAGCACACTCATGAGGATCTGAGCTCCTGGCTGGAGAACGTTGAGGCTGAGACCAGAACGTTTGCTGAGCAGGAGCCAGTGGGAGAGCAGCTTGTCCATGCACAAAGCAGGAAGAAGGTAAGAAGAAATACATTGTCCATATTGAACATTGTTTCCTCCAAGACCGTCTGAGTGAGCTGATTTTTCTCTGTTTGACGTAACCCTGCACAGGACTTGCTGAAGGAGACCAAAGACAAAAAATCATCAATGGACAAGCTGAATGAGTTAAGCAGTTCTCTCCTGGATCTGATCCCCTGGCACGCTCGGGAGGGTCTGGACAAGCTGGTGACCGAGGATAATGAGCGATACAGAGCCGTCTCTGACACCATCAACCAGCAGGTCGACCAGATCAATGCTGATATACTCAAGTCACAACAGGTACACCAGCTGATAGACAATGTGTTTGGCTATTCCACTACTTGAATGAATGCATTTTTTCTAAAGAGTTGTATCATTTGCAGCTGTAGATAATGCTTCTTTTTTGTTTACAGTTTGAGCAGGCTGCAGACTCTGAACTCTCCTGGCTCACTGAGGCTGAGAGGAAGTTGCTCTCGATGGGCGAGATCAGGCTGGAGCAGGACCAAACCACAGCCCAGCTCCAAGCACAGAAGGTTAGCCTGTCATAATGTGTGTGTGTGTGTGTGTGTATGGATAGACACAGGCCTCCATCTAAGCAAAGTACAGTAAACACAGCTGTTTTGTTTTTGGAACAGCCAGCTTAACTCACTCTACCGGTTTTCTAGATCTTCTCTATGGACATCATGAGGCACAAAGACGCTGTGGATGATATTGTAAAAACTGGAAAGGCCATCATGAACAGTAAAAACCCAGAGGAGAAAGAGATGTTGAAGGTGAAGACATTCAATTCCAATTATTAACAAATCATCACTTGTTTGTTTTTTTCATGGACATAAGTTTAATGGCGCTCTTGTTTCTCAATCAGGCCAAGACTCAGACTCTCCTGGAGAAATACGGTGTGGTCAGTCAGCTGAACTCAGAGCGCTGTCTGCAGCTGGAGCGTGCTCAGTCTCTGGCCAGTCAGTTCTGGGAGACCTACGAGGAGATGTGGCCGTGGCTCCAGGAGACCTTGAGCACCTTCAGTCAGCTTCCTCTACCTGCCATCGAGTACGAGGCGCTGAGGCAGCAGCAAGAGGAACTCAGGGTAAAAAGAAAACACACCTCACAGACGCTCAGTACAAACGTTTTAATGACTCAAAGCAACTGTTTTAATAATGTGTCGACTCCTTTGCAGCAAATGCGGGAGCTGATCTCGGAGCACAAGCCTCACATCGACAAGATGAATAAGACGGGGCCTCAGTTACTCGAGCTCAGTCCAGTGGAGGGGGCGCCCATCAGAGAGAAGTACACAGCATCAGACAAACTGTACACCCAGCTCAAGGCTGATGTCACTCAGAGAGCTGCTACTCTGGATGAGGCCATCTCCAAATCTACACAGGTAAAGAGAAGGTGTACAATGGATGACCCATAGGAAACATTTATCTTTAGTGGATATTAATATTTATTATGCTTTTTATTTTTACATTTAAACACTTCTATATATGTTGCATTCACGCTTTTTTAAAGTTTGCATAGTCGCTTGTCAGCCATGATAAAGAAAGGTTTCCTTAAATATGAATAATAAAAAGCCATTAAGATTAACATTTTCTTGTATAAAGTATGCTATTATATGTTAATATTTTAAGCCTTAACTAGGTTAATCACAGTTATTCATTGCATGTGTTTACTTGATGTATCTATTTATAAAGTCAAGAAACATGAGCAAGTATTGAAAAATGTCCACCACAATTTTCCAGGAACTGAGCTGTTTAATTTATAAAAATATAAACAATGACATGAAACAGAAAAAAACAGCAAATTATTACATTTGGAAGCAGAGAAACAGATCATTGTAGTATCATAAAAGTGATATTATTTTCAGTCAATTAGTTAATTAACTTGTTCTGCTTCATTTTACACATTAAAGAAAAATAAATAAATTAATTACACGAGTTACTTACCATATTATTTATTCTCATACAAACATTGGCCGTCTAAAAATATGGAGTCAAACACTTCACAGCCTCCTGAAGTGACATTAACCTCACAGTATAATGTTTGGATTCACTCTGAGGTGTTTCTGTCTTTGTTCTTCACCAGTTCCATGATAAAATCGACCCGATGCTGGAATCCCTGGAGCGGATAGCTGAGCGTCTGCGCCAGCCTCCGTCCATCTCGGTGGAGCTGGACAAGATCAAGGAGCAGATTACAGAGAATAAGTCCTTCTCTGTGGATCTGGAGAAGCTGCAGCCGTCTTATGGGACACTGAAGGAGCGTGGCGAGGAGATGATCGCTCGGTCTCGAGGAGCCGACAAGGACATTTCTGCTAAAGGTATGACACACATCATCTTGTTTTTTTAAATTGTTTTTCTCTCAGAGGATTTTGTAATACGCTTAAAGCCAAATGAGACAAATAGCATATTAAAAGGCAACAGTAGAAAAATATTAGAGGCATGCATATATCTTTTATTTCTCCCCCCTAGAAACATGTCCCATTATTAGAAATACACAAACAAAAAGGCACCAGGGTTGAGCCGGCACATTCCACATTGCCACATTAAGAACAGTAAAGTTCAGAACCATAAAGATAAACAGAATCACGTGCAGTAACAGTGATACCTGATGCAGTACAGTAGCTCTTCCCTACCACCCACCCCTCACCCATCATCCCAAACATGTTTCCTGGATTATTAATAAGGCACACTGACTTGGAGTTAACTTGCAGTGCAACAACCTCCACAGAGTCAGGTAGTTCTGTTTGTGTCAAGGGTCAAATCAAAAAACACTTCCAGCTTATGTTGTTTTGGTCTGATGGAAGTTAGATGATAAGTGTTCCCAGGTCTTAAAAAACTTTTTTCTGCACCATAGTCAGATTATCCTGTATTTCTAATTTGAGACAGGACATAACGTCCCGAAAGCTTTTACTTGAAGTTTTAATTCACAAAGCCCTGAAAACATTTTCCCAGGTGTGATTTTATGTGAATACCGATCTATTTCATAGCAAGAAACAAAGAGCAAACAGTTTCTCATTAAAGCTCTCCATATGTGTGAGATTTGTTCCCCCAGCACACACCGCTGAGGTTAACATGCTGATGTCTGTGCCTTCTGTTTGTGTTCTACATCTTAACGCTGTTAATTGAGTTATTGTATATTCACTGTTTTTTAATCACACAAGCTGTTCAAGACAAACTGGACCAGATGGTGTTCCTCTGGAGCGACATCCAGGCCTTACTGGAGGAGCGGGAGGCTAAGCTGCTGGATGTGATGGACCTGGCAGACAAGTTCTGGTGCGACCACTGCGCTCTGATCGTCACAATCAAAGACAGCCAGGACCTGCTGAGGGAGCTGGAGGAGCCTGGCGTCGACCCGTCAGTCGTCAAACAGCAGCAGGAGTTTGTCGAGGTAGACAGATTCTCCAGAAATGACTCGGCTTATTGACTCAACGTGCGAGTGGTTTAGAGCAATGGAAGAAAAAAAACTGCTTTTGATTCTTACAGGGATTCAAGGAGGAGATCGATGGGCTGCAGGAAGAGCTTGAAGTGGTTCAAAACCAGGGTGCAGAGCTGATGACTGCCTGCGGGGAACCTGATAAACCTGTGATAAAGAAAAGTCTCGATGAGGTACAGATTATAGAGAAAGCCATCTTATAAAGACAGAAGACTTTGGAGAGTCCTTAAGGCTTTCTTTTGTTGCATATGGCTTGTTTATACAAGTATTTATATGATTTTTCAGGTGAATTCAGCGTGGGAATATCTCAATAAGACGTGGAAGGAGAGAGTGGAGGGACTGGAGGAGGCCATGCAGGCTGCTGTGCAGTTTCAGGATGGCCTACAGGTACTTATAACACGTCTGTACTGTATTTTCTTCAAGGAAGGAAGAAAGGAAAGTCATTCTCTGAACACAATCAAACAAGGTCATTCATTTTATTTTCTTTCTTTAATATGTTTTTTTTTTTTGTCTAAGGCTTTTCTGTTAAATTGTGGCGCAATTTTTCCTTAACTTAACCCAAAACAGACTTTTCAAAACTTTCTTAATTTCACTTATAAGATTTTTACTGTTTAACTTGTCTCAAGAATAAAGTGGTTCTCTGCAGTTTAAATAAGTGTTTAAATTTGGATGCACACAGTGAGCCACTTTATGTAAAGCGTTTCAGATGAAACCACAGATTACCCTGCTTTGCTGGTTTTATTGCAGTGGAGTGAAGTGATACAACATTTTATGAGACGACCTATTCATTTTGAAACAATAAACACAAACCACAGAGCTGTGCTATTATTGGCTCAAACTTAGACTTTAAAAGAAAGAGTCTTCTGCTTTACTTTTACTTTAATTTAAGATCCCCATTTATTCTTCTTTAAGATTACAGTTTTGTATTACAGGGCTTGCCTTTAGTTTTTTGTCTTTTTACCCAATTTGTCAGCCGCATAGATTTATGAGAGGCTAACTGTAAGATGTAGAGCTTAACACGACACTAAATGTAACATGACTCCCCGTGCACAAAGCTTTGTTTGCCTCAGTAACAATGGCTTCCCACCTTGTTTTCAGGGTATGTTTGACTGGGTGGACATTCTTGAGAGCAAACTGGATTCAATGTCACCTGTAGGCACGGACCTGGAAACTGTCAAACAGCAGATGGTCGAGCTCAAGGTACAGTCTTGTATTTGTATTTCTGTAAACATGATGTGCATCGACCTTGGAGTATTTATTCCTTACATTGCTGCAGTGTTTATTGTCATAGAAGATCTCTTATGTAGCAGCTGTGTTTATGTTGCTTTAATCATAACCTGCCCTAGTTTCCCTTTTTATCCCCGTACAAAAGCTCTCCAGAAAAAAAAGCAGTCACACTGTTTGATGTACAATAAGACGCATTATTCAGCTAACAGGGAATAATGAACTGTCCATGGAGCTTTGTGCTTCTGTTGACTGACTGGGTGTCCCACTGTATGATTCAGGAGTTCAAAGGAGAGGCGTACCAGCTGCAAATTGAGATGGAGCGCCTGAACCACCAGGCAGGCCTCCTGCTGAAGAAGGTGACAGAGGAGGCGGATCGCAGCGCCATCCAGGAGCCAATGTCCGAGCTCAAGATGCTCTGGGACAACCTGGATGAGAAGATCATCAGCAGACAGGTCAGAACAGAAACGAAGCGTGTTGACAGAAAATATATTTGCTGGGGAAATGAAGATATATGATTACTTACTGATACTGATCTATGTTGCTTTATGCTGTTTTAATACATACGAAACGTCCTGAACAATGGTTCCAACATGCAGTGGAATGTGTTGTATGCGGGTCAGTGTGTATCTAATGGTTTAATCTGTCATTAATCCAGCACAAACTGGAGGGAGGCCTTCTGGCTCTGGGGCAGTTTCAGCACGCACTGGACGAGCTGCTGGCCTGGATGAGCCACACCGAGGAGCTTCTGAACGAGCAGAGGAAGGCAGGAGGAGACCCCAAAGCCATCGAGATCGAGCTCGCCAAGCACCATGTATGAAAAAAAGTCAACCCCACATTACATTGAATGCATGAAAATGGAAAAAGCCAGGAGTAGATTTAGTCACAATTTGCTGTATTTTTTCTCTCAGAATGAACCTTTACCCATGCAGCTTTGTGCTTCCTAACGTCCGGACATTTCTGTCCTGCTTTATCTCTTCAGGTTCTCCAAAATGACGTTTTGGCTCACAAGGCGACAGTTGAGACAGTCAATAAAGCCGGTACTGATCTGGTGGAGTCCAGCGCTGGAGAGGAAGCTTCCAGTCTTCAGAGCAAACTGGAAAACCTGAACCAGCGGTGGAAAGCCATCCTGGAGAAGACGACGCAGAGGAAGCAGCAACTGGAGAGTTCTCTGCTTCAGGTATAACGATTATTTTCAGCCTGGGACATATTTGTGTTTACCTTTATTTTCTTTTTTTAAGCCTTGATTTATCCTCTTCTCCCAGAGAGCAGGAATGTTTCGTCAAAGCCACACGATGCTCTTGGAGAAGTCTCCTCCCTTCCTTTCGCGTCCTGCAGAGTTTATTTTCATAACTTTGACATTTAGCGAGGGGGCTTTGATCCGAGAGAGGAGGAGAAATGTTTGTCAAGTTTCTGACAGAGTTTTACAAGATGAGAATGAGGAGTCTTTCTCAGTAAGATCTGCCAAAAATCCAATGAGCACAGCTTTCTTTAGGGCCCAGTTTACTCCCAGACAGACAGACAGAGAGACAGACTAAAAATGAAGTATCTAAAAACAGACAAAGATGACGAAGAACTGTCCAGTGTGTAAAACTGGATTATAAATGTCTGAAAAATACTAAAAACCTCGATACAAATAAATAAATAAAGTGAATAAATATATTCAAATGCATATGCAATAGTTTTCTGTAAATGAGTGTGCATTGTTTTTATTCCTGCCCATTTAATAGTATAATGGCATTTAAGAGAAAGGACTGACTGTATCACTCCTGCATCTCAGTTTTATCAGCCCCGTTCAATTGTAACAGTTTTACATTAAACTTAAAATAAGAAGCTTGTTTTTAGTGATTTGCATCTAATTAATTACATTTCAGGGTTTTTATTCATTCAATCTGCAGGAGTAGCTAAATGAATCCAAGGAATTAATAACTCAGACATTCTCCTCTCTGAGCTAGAGGTTGCTAACAATACGTGTGTGGGTGTGTGTGTGTGTGTGTGTGTGTGAGACACCTTTTGTCCTGACTCAGGTTGTTTTGTGTTGTAGGCCCAAGGTTTCCATGGTGAGATAGAAGATATGCAGCAATGGCTGAAAGACACAGAACGTCAGCTGTTGGCATCAAAGGCTGTGGGAGGCTTACCAGACACGGCCCGGGAGCAGCTTAACGCCCATCTGGTATGTGTTTAACAATATGAAAGGCCACATACAGATGGCAGGCTCGTAAGGAGACGACTATGTCTTTTCTGTGTTTTTATCTGAAGTGTGAAAATTAAATGACACTGCAACATACATGACTTGCATCGCCATGCAGGAGACGACAAAAAAGCCTTTAAAGCGTTGCAAACTGATTCGGCCGTGTCCGACGATGATGCATTTAGGAATGTTTACCTTCTTTGTTTTCCTTTTTTTTCCCCTAATGGTGAAACTCAAGACATT